TCTTTGTTTCGTCTGATAGGTGAGATCGTCACCAATAACATGAAACAATTTTCACAACGATACGACCAACCGTTCCGGAGATATTGCAAAACAGGCACTTCCACCAACAATTTTCAAATTTTCTTTGTTTCGTCTGATAGGTGAGATCGTCACCAATAACATGAAACAATTTTCACAACGATACGACCAACCGTTCCGGAGATATTGCAAAACAGGCACTTCCACCAACAATTTTCAAATTTTCTTTGTTTCGTCTGATAGGTGAGATCGTCACCAATAACATGAAACAATTTTCACAACGATACGACCAACCGTTCCGGAGATATTGCAAAACAGGCACTTCCACCAACAATTTTCAAATTTTCTTTGTTTCGTCTGATAGGTGAGATCGTCACCAATAACATGAAACAATTTTCACAACGATACGACCAACCGTTCCGGAGATATTGCAAAACAGGCACTTCCACCAACAATTTTCAAATTTTCTTTGTTTCGTCTGATAGGTGAGATCGTCACCAATAACATGAAACAATTTTCACAACGATACGACCAACCGTTCCGGAGATATTGCAAAACAGGCACTTCCACCAACAATTTTCAAATTTTCTTTGTTTCGTCTGATAGGTGAGATCGTCACCAATAACATGAAACAATTTTCACAACGATACGACCAACCGTTCCGGAGATATTGCAAAACAGGCACTTCCACCAACAATTTTCAAATTTTCTTTGTTTCGTCTGATAGGTGAGATCGTCACCAATAACATGAAACAATTTTCACAACGATACGACCAACCGTTCCGGAGATATTGCAAAACAGGCACTTCCACCAACAATTTTCAAATTTTCTTTGTTTCGTCTGATAGGTGAGATCGTCACCAATAACATGAAACAATTTTCACAACGATACGACCAACCGTTCCGGAGATATTGCAAAACAGGCACTTCCACCAACAATTTTCAAATTTTCTTTGTTTCGTCTGATAGGTGAGATCGTCACCAATAACATGAAACAATTTTCACAACGATACGACCAACCGTTCCGGAGATATTGCAAAACAGGCACTTCCACCAACAATTTTCAAATTTTCTTTGTTTCGTCTGATAGGTGAGATCGTCACCAATAACATGAAACAATTTTCACAACGATACGACCAACCGTTCCGGAGATATTGCAAAACAGGCACTTCCACCAACAATTTTCAAATTTTCTTTGTTTCGTCTGATAGGTGAGATCGTCACCAATAACATGAAACAATTTTCACAACGATACGACCAACCGTTCCGGAGATATTGCAAAACAGGCACTTCCACCAACAATTTTCAAATTTTCTTTGTTTCGTCTGATAGGTGAGATCGTCACCAATAACATGAAACAATTTTCACAACGATACGACCAACCGTTCCGGAGATATTGCAAAACAGGCACTTCCACCAACAATTTTCAAATTTTCTTTGTTTCGTCTGATAGGTGAGATCGTCACCAATAACATGAAACAATTTTCACAACGATACGACCAACCGTTCCGGAGATATTGCAAAACAGGCACTTCCACCAACAATTTTCAAATTTTCTTTGTTTCGTCTGATAGGTGAGATCGTCACCAATAACATGAAACAATTTTCACAACGATACGACCAACCGTTCCGGAGATATTGCAAAACAGGCACTTCCACCAACAATTTTCAAATTTTCTTTGTTTCGTCTGATAGGTGAGATCGTCACCAATAACATGAAACAATTTTCACAACGATACGACCAACCGTTCCGGAGATATTGCAAAACAGGCACTTCCACCAACAATTTTCAAATTTTCTTTGTTTCGTCTGATAGGTGAGATCGTCACCAATAACATGAAACAATTTTCACAACGATACGACCAACCGTTCCGGAGATATTGCAAAACAGGCACTTCCACCAACAATTTTCAAATTTTCTTTGTTTCGTCTGATAGGTGAGATCGTCACCAATAACATGAAACAATTTTCACAACGATACGACCAACCGTTCCGGAGATATTGCAAAACAGGCACTTCCACCAACAATTTTCAAATTTTCTTTGTTTCGTCTGATAGGTGAGATCGTCACCAATAACATGAAACAATTTTCACAACGATACGACCAACCGTTCCGGAGATATTGCAAAACAGGCACTTCCACCAACAATTTTCAAATTTTCTTTGTTTCGTCTGATAGGTGAGATCGTCACCAATAACATGAAACAATTTTCACAACGATACGACCAACCGTTCCGGAGATATTGCAAAACAGGCACTTCCACCAACAATTTTCAAATTTTCTTTGTTTCGTCTGATAGGTGAGATCGTCACCAATAACATGAAACAATTTTCACAACGATACGACCAACCGTTCCGGAGATATTGCAAAACAGGCACTTCCACCAACAATTTTCAAATTTTCTTTGTTTCGTCTGATAGGTGAGATCGTCACCAATAACATGAAACAATTTTCACAACGATACGACCAACCGTTCCGGAGATATTGCAAAACAGGCACTTCCACCAACAATTTTCAAATTTTCTTTGTTTCGTCTGATAGGTGAGATCGTCACCAATAACATGAAACAATTTTCACAACGATACGACCAACCGTTCCGGAGATATTGCAAAACAGGCACTTCCACCAACAATTTTCAAATTTTCTTTGTTTCGTCTGATAGGTGAGATCGTCACCAATAACATGAAACAATTTTCACAACGATACGACCAACCGTTCCGGAGATATTGCAAAACAGGCACTTCCACCAACAATTTTCAAATTTTCTTTGTTTCGTCTGATAGGTGAGATCGTCACCAATAACATGAAACAATTTTCACAACGATACGACCAACCGTTCCGGAGATATTGCAAAACAGGCACTTCCACCAACAATTTTCAAATTTTCTTTGTTTCGTCTGATAGGTGAGATAGTCACCAATAACATGAAACAATTTTCACAACGATACGACCAACCATTCCGGAGATATTGCGAAACAGGCACTTCCACCAAGAATTTTAAAATTTTCTTTGTTTCGTCTGATAGGTGAGATAGTCACCAATAACATGAAACAATTTTCACAACGATACGACCAACCATTCCGGAGATATTGCGAAACAGGCACTTGCACCAACAATTTTAAAATTTTGTTTGTTTTGTCTGATAGGTGAGATGGCCGCCAATAATATGAAACAATTTTCACAACGATACCGCCAACGGTTGCGCACAAATTGCAAAACAGGCACTTGCACCAACAATTTTAAAATTTTGTTTGTTTTGTCTGATAGGTGAGATGGCCGCCAATAATATAAAACAATTTTCACAACGATACCACCAACCGTTCCGGAGATATTGCAAATCAGGCACTTCCACCAACAATTTTCAAATTTTCTTTCTTCCGTCTGATAGGTGAGATCGCCACCAATAATATGAAACAATTTTCACAACGATACCACCAACCATTCCGGAGATATTGCAAATCAGGCACTTCCACCAACAATTTTCAAATTTTCTTTGTTTCGTCTGATAGGTGAGATCGCCACCAATAATCTAAACAATTTTCACAACGATACGACCAACCGTTCCGGACAAATTGCAAAACAGGCACTTGCACCAACAATTTTAAAATTTTGTTTGTTTTGTCTGATAGGTGAGATGGCCGCCAATAATATGAAACAATTTTCACAACGATACCGCCAACGGTTGCGCACAAATTGCAAAACAGGCACTTGCACCAACAATTTTAAAATTTTGTTTGTTTTGTCTGATAGGTGAGATGGCCGCCAATAATATGAAACAATTTTCACAACGATACGACCAACCGTTCCGGAGATATTGCAAAACAGGCACTTCCACCAACAATTTTCAAATTTTCTTTGTTTCGTCTGATAGGTGAGATCGTCACCAATAACATGAAACAATTTTCACAACGATACGACCAACCGTTCCGGAGATATTGCAAAACAGGCACTTCCACCAACAATTTTCAAATTTTCTTTGTTTCGTCTGATAGGTGAGATCGTCACCAATAACATGAAACAATTTTCACAACGATACGACCAACCGTTCCGGAGATATTGCAAAACAGGCACTTCCACCAACAATTTTCAAATTTTCTTTGTTTCGTCTGATAGGTGAGATCGTCACCAATAACATGAAACAATTTTCACAACGATACGACCAACCGTTCCGGAGATATTGCAAAACAGGCACTTCCACCAACAATTTTCAAATTTTCTTTGTTTCGTCTGATAGGTGAGATCGTCACCAATAACATGAAACAATTTTCACAACGATACGACCAACCGTTCCGGAGATATTGCAAAACAGGCACTTCCACCAACAATTTTCAAATTTTCTTTGTTTCGTCTGATAGGTGAGATCGTCACCAATAACATGAAACAATTTTCACAACGATACGACCAACCGTTCCGGAGATATTGCAAAACAGGCACTTCCACCAACAATTTTCAAATTTTCTTTGTTTCGTCTGATAGGTGAGATCGTCACCAATAACATGAAACAATTTTCACAACGATACGACCAACCGTTCCGGAGATATTGCAAAACAGGCACTTCCACCAACAATTTTCAAATTTTCTTTGTTTCGTCTGATAGGTGAGATCGTCACCAATAACATGAAACAATTTTCACAACGATACGACCAACCGTTCCGGAGATTTTGCAAAACAGGCACTTACACCAACAATTTCAAAATTGTGTTTGTTTCGTCTGATAGGTGAGATCGCCACCAATAATATAAAACAATTTTCACAACGATACCACCAACCATTCCGGAGATTTTGCAAAACAGGCACTTACACCAACAATTTCAAAATTGTGTTTGTTTCGTCTGATAGGTGAGATCGCCACCAATAATATAAAACAATTTTCACAACCATACCTCCGAGCGTTTAGATTTCGTGAATGGCATTGGGATGGGTTTGCGAAATTGCTTGTTTACATTTACGTGCTATATTTGTTTTGCAGTTTTAATTTTTTGAATTTAAACACCTTGTAATTTGATTTTCGTTATTCATTTGCTATAAATTCGTGGCTTACTTTAATCCATTAATTATTTGAAATACATGTTCCTGCTCATTTGTATATATAGCATGAATATTTATTTATTGTTAACTCTCCACCCATTGGTCAATTTATTTGAAATTATGAAGTACAACATTTGTATGGATAATTATGTGACCGACAATTTGGATGAAAATCGAGCAATTTAACCACAGTTAAATGAATATAGTCGTGTATGCTACCTGTGATGACGGATATATGTAGTGTTTAGCACCAATCAGAAGGGGAATACCTGGCAGACGGAGAATAAGAAGACTGATTTTAAGAGAACAAGTAAAGGAACAGACTTCGTAACAACAGCAGAATTGAAAGAATCATCAAGCATGTTGAGAACAATTGAAGGGAAATGTGCAAATAACGTTTTGAATCTATGATCTTCATGTTATGAACGCACTCAATAATTTTTTGATGAACAATGAGCCGTTTTTCCACTCCTGAGTCTTTGTTCACTGAAGTGTTAGATAACAGTTTTTCAGTGATTTTCAAACAATTTGTTCACTTCACAAAGGTTCTGAATAGCAATGTGTGATGGTTTTATGCAGAACATTTACTGCCGAAAGAAAACTAGTCAATTTGTTGTATTGGCAGTTCAACGTCTAAGTATGTACGATGTGAATTCTTTTGGTTTTTTATTAAATGAGTGTAGACATGTTAATAGACCACACTACAATATATACATCATAACTAAAAAATATAATTAGCTGACATTTATGAGCTGATAAAATAAGGACAATTTTTTATGGTGAATCGCTAAATTATATTAATTTCCTCTAATAGGTTGACATTATTGAGTGAACGATTGGAAATGTTTTTCTTTCAATTTTCCACTGTGATGTATAATCGAATTTTTCATTGTAATAGGTTTAAAGTGATCGAGATCTCTTCTAACAAACTGAACATTACATGAAGATAGGATGTTGAATAATTTCTGACTTTCAACAGTTCCTTAATAACTATTATCAAAGATGATCAAATTCAATAAACCCTCATTAATACGTTGTGGTGAGTTCCCCTACATGTTTTATTATGAAGGTGAAAGTGCAGGCCAGTAATTCAACCTCAATTTAGATAACTAAGTAGCACATCATCATAACAAACTTGTTTATTCATCTTAAACATTAAAAATAGTAATAATAATCCAAATAGAACAACAATAAATAAAACCAAACAAAATCGGAATACATATCATGGCTATCGCCATCATCAGCTATTCTTTTGCGGCGTTCTCAAGATATTCTCTACTTTATGATGTAACATATTCATTATTCAAAACGAATTAGAGCAGAGAATATGTAAATAAAGAGAGACCATCACAGCTCAAATTTAACAAAAGAAGTAGAAAGGAAAGACAAAATAGAAAGTAGTTAACATGAACGAATGACAGGAACCGTTAGTAAAAGCAATCAGTTGAACATGGTCTAGCTTCAATTGGCTCATGATTTCAACTTGTGAAATTTCCAAACCTCCACAAAACCCATTCTGATAATAATAATCACCTGCTCACTAGTGACTGACTTCATGAGACACTCCTGGAGTTCTAGTGGGAAGTCGTTACCAGTCGAGTTCAACCAGGTCTGTTGTGAGATAGTAACTCACTGAAGACAATGGTGGCGCAACTTCGTGGATTAGTTGAAGTTAGACATTAACACCGTTAGATGCCTGCTCAGTGGTCTAATGGTTAAGTGCTCGCGCGCGAAGCCAGTAGGTCCTGGGTTCGAATCCCGCGAGGGGCGGGTTCGCGGATGCGCACTGCTGAGGAGTCCCATACTAGGACGAAACGGCCGTCCAGTGCTTCCAGGTTTTCCATGGTGGTCTAGCTTCAATTGGCTCATGATTTCAGCTTGTGAAATTTCCAAAAAATCTCCACAAAACCCATTCTGATTAGATTTCAGTTTGAACAATAGATCACCTTATATACTTCTAGCGAATAAATACAAGTAATCACGACAATGAAAAGCTAGTGGATTTTAATGTATGTCTATCAACTTTATTACCAAATTTCTTTTAAAATATCATAATAAAGAGGACAAAACAAGTGAAAAGCAGTCTAGATAATCATGGGAAAAAATGCAATATAACAGTGGTAGCTGAATTCTTAAGGTCAAGTTATTTACGTTCACAAGGTTCATGTGCACATACACACACATACGCATGTATTTGGACGAATATAGTTCCAATATAACTTGGCAACTAAGCTTGGTTCTGATTAAAGGTGGAACATATAACAATCAATTAGTCCGGCGCTTAATGTCATATGAACTAAAACATGCAACTAATATTTAGACCAAGTTCATAACCGTAAGAAAAATTAACACAACATATAAAGACAAAGAATTTAATACATTTATATGGTCATTTATCGATAGAATATTGACGATGGATGTCTAAGACAAATGCACAGTAGATGAAAGTTTGTTGGAAATGATGAGGAAAATGAAAGGAAAGCAATAATGACAACAATAATCACTGTGTAAAAGGACGATAATAAAGAAAGGCAAAGTCAGGAAAATGATTATTACAAGTGTAAACTAATATGTTCAATATATGATACTTTCTCGATAAGTATTATTATGTTTAATTAAAAATTATGATTAAGCGAAAATAACGGTGGTGCAGTGAGTTGTTAATTTGATAAATAACAGTGAAGAACGACAACAAACACACGTATACGAAAATATCTATTAAAGGATTTTGTGTGTGTAGTAAAGTGAAAATTCAGATCATAATTTTTGAAATTTTCTAAATTGTCCCATTGATCAAGTGACCAGAGATTAAGACGCTATAATTGACCAAATTATTATGAATAGTACACGGGTCATTAGTAGCACAAACAAACAGGTAAGACATATTTTTTCAGTGAAATTATGTCGATAACCATCCCTTCCTCTTAACTATTTCGACGGCTTACCAATAAGTAGGTTTTCATATTACCTTTACCTTTGACAAACACTTCATCGCGGTATTCAAATATGTAACGTGATTCTAAGCGTTTAGCAACAGCCTCAGTAACTTGTATTCTACCTTTTAAACCTGTTGAATACATACGACTAGCCACATTGACAGTATCACCCCATATATCATATAATAGTTTTGTAGTACCAATAACACCAGCTGTCACTTCACCAATATTATAACCAACTTTTAGCTCAAATTGAAAATTGAACATTTGGCGATTGAAATCATCTAGTGTATGAATTAAATCCAAAGCAAAATCAAGTAATGCCCACAAATGTTCATCTGATCGTTTATTGCGTTTACGTTCAGTCATATTTAATCCAGAAGCAGCCATAAAACATGAACCGATTGTTTTGATTTTCTCGACGTCTTTATATTTTGATAAGGCGAGTTGATGCTCAAAATCAGCAAATATTTCATTCATAACACGTAACATCTCTTGACCACCTTGGTATTGTTCGTCATAAAACTCAGAGAAATTCGCAATACATGCAAAAACAACACCAGCATCTTCAATATGTCGAGAGTATTTATTATGCTGACGTAAATCATTCATTATATAATATGGAATAATGTTCTCCAATAACCAATCAGCTTGCAATTTTTGATGACCGATAGCTTCCTTAGCTCGTAGAGCTTCATAATCTCGATGAAAACTTAATCGGAAATTAATATCAAACTCACGATTCAATGCACCGACTAGAATCAAAGTAAGTAATCCAATCACGATATACTCGTACACGGCATTATCAGACATGGCTGGATATGACCAATCAGGAAACTCAAATAACAACGATGAATTTCGATTTTCTAGTCGTTCTTCAACAATTGCTGGACTATTAAAACTATATTTTATTGCCGAATACCACGACTGAGCATGCTGTGGCGAACACGTGTACTGAAGTGTTCTATGTAAGGATATCAGTAGTATACCCAATGAACAGACGAATGTAGCTGAAATAGTTTTCGTCCAAGAGGAAAACGATGTGTACAATGTACAGTTAATAAACATAAAAGTGAACAACAAACCAATCTGTGTACGATAAGTAGCATAAAACATGTGAGAATAATAATAGGTGTCTTTATGATTTGATGACGCATCGAGTGTTATTAAAGGTGTATATTTATTAAATAAACAATAAGAATAGGTCGACAAAACGACAGATGTTGGTAAGATCAAAATAAAAACACCAATCACATTACGTGAATTCCAACGAAACAGCTTCCCATATAGCCGAATCACTATACGTCGCCAATCATAACGGCTACTAGTTTTCAACATGGACTTACTACTACTATTGCAACGTCTTGGACACCAGGCCCATGCAGCCAAATCGGAAATTAACAATGTCAATAATAGTGTATGTATCATGAAGGCGATAAATAGAATAATATAAAAACTTGGCGTATTCACTGCTTTTCGAGCATCTGGAAAAACAATTAAACATGTTATAGCAATAACGAAAATCAATATTGTCTCTGTAATTGTATTAATAAATGGAGCGATACGTGGTGTGGACCATGATAATTTCTCAATAGAGTGAGTTCTTGGACGTCGTAAACCTAAACGTCGATAACTTTTCTCAACCATGGGAACAAAGAAATTCAAACTTAATCTGGATATTGGTGGAAAAATGAAAATTTCATCAGGTTGAACAAAATCTTGTAATGCCTGCAACATTTCCACATCAGAACCGCGACTAATAGCATACGAAGTAGTTATAGTAGTAGTAGTTGTTGTTGTTGTAGCAGTATGCGGTATAGTTATGTTCTTATTATCCATAGAAAGACGATTTTCTGTTAAGACTGTTGAAACCGATTGTGGTAGTTGACTGCTATCCACCAGCTTCTTATTATCTCCACCATTATGTTGTGTAATGCCGTCAGGTTTCTTAGCGACATTATTAGTACTTTCGTTATTCACAAGTGGATGACATGAGGTAAAAGTGTTGTGAATCTCCGTGGTTGATGAAATACTAGTATTCATTGCTGTTGGGATAACTGCGTCAATATTCCGTGATTCATCATGCAGATTATTATTTGTGGTAACAGTTTCACTATCGCAAACATTATTAATCTAAAAGAAAAATGATAGTTGTACAGAAATTTATTCGGCTGGAAAAGTTTTATGACGACTTCGCAAAAATAGTAAACCTATGAAAAATACCTCATATCTGTAAACAATAACGGCCTAGAAGTTAGAGCATTCAGTTCCCATCTAGTTCCATTTAGGCAGCTATACATATACAACAATCAGCGACGACCAGATATAAAAATTGGCGACGAAGTAAAAAATATATTACGATCCAAAGTCAGTCTGTGATTGGACGAAATTCAGTCAAATTATTTCGAGCAATCACCATCCAGATTTGTCATCGGTGTCCTTGAACGACATTGGTCATTATTCATGCAGTAATTTTCATTACCGGTGCTGATTCAGAAAATGACTCTCCCTTCCGATCGATTACAGCTACTATTTGAGCGACAGTTGGCGTTCTTAGTGAAATTACGCACACAGCTGCTGAATCACTCACGTTTTGGAGATGCGACGGAAGTGAATGGATTAATTTCTCAATTGCACACTAAGCAGGGAAATGATTGCAGCCTTCATGAATCCTTGGCAAACAGTAAATTAAACAAAACGGTAGTCATTCAATATCCACCCAGTGGTAGAGTACTGCCCATTTCAGAAACATGCCCGGTAATGGATTTAAATCCCACTGCCCCCGAAACATAATATACAAACACGGACGTATCCAGCTCATAAAAAGATTTCCTGTTTATTGTTCATGGAATTGTCGCAGTACCGCCCACGAAACAGAAAACAAATCATGCAGTATACTGAATGCAGCTGCACCTAATAAAGCTCATCATTTTCTGGCAAAACAAGAGAATCTCGATAATAAGATTCGTCAGGAACTTGTGAAATGGTTACTTAAGAGTAACAGACGTTCCGTAATTGAGCTTTTCACGTAAACCGAATTCTATAAACAAACGATATGGTTAGCTAGTAAATCAGCTGATTCACGTTGCCACAAGTTATTTTGAGTAATCGCGTATTCAGCCACATCAGTAATTTGATCTAAAACTGATTTCCGACAGTCACGATTGCTAAAGGACAATTTTACATTTTTATAATTCAATAGACATGGCAAACGTTTAAAGATGCTTGATCAACCTATAACATGCGTCTGTGAATCATTTGCCAAGTAAAAGTTTTCGTACTGGTACTACTAGCCATCCTAAACTGGAATTGGAATCTAGTTCAAACGTTACACCTGTAGATTGGAGTTGGATTACCTTAATTACTAAACCATAGATGAACCAGAATCAAAATGGTTACTATTAAAAACGATAATTTATCACCTGAACTAATATTATTAAGATTTATGTAAATAAGATCTCACAAATTCGTTTAGGGTATATGGTATAAATTCAGTAGTAATAATGCTTGTTCTGACTGTTTACTGAGAAAACATTTTCAACCTTACAAAATGTTTACTAAAATCAACACCCAATGTTCGCTTATCTTGGAAGTCTGATCAGCCCTAATGGGTTGGTGTCTGACGAAATCTCAGCACGGATTCGAAAAGCTCGTTTGGCTTTTCCCACTTTGCGTCACCTTTGGCGAAGGCAAGATATCCGTCTATCAGTAGAAGGACGAGTATACTGCGCGGCAGTCCGTTCTGTTTTAGTTTACGGCAGCGAAACATGGCCATTAAAAGAAGAAGACACTCGTGCCTCAGAAATATTACTGGCGTTTGCTGGGATCACCGGGTAAGTAATAGTGAGATTAGACGCAGGGTATTAGGGAATGATGGTAAATCAGTTGAAGTTGTGAATTTTCATCGACTGAGATGGTTGGGCAACGTATTACGTATGCCTGAACACCGATTACCACGACGTGCAATGCTAACCGGTGTTGGAGATGGTTGGAAGAAAGTTAAGGGCGCCAAACCAAAACGTGGCATCAGTGCTTGAAGACACTAACTTCTAGTCTCAGCCATGTTGGAAGATGCAGACTACTTGGTTGGGGTCAGCATGACTATCGTAACCAATGGTTGGAGACTCTTGGTGACATGGCTCAGAATCGATCACAATGGCGTCGGTGTATACACTCACCGTCCTCCCTTAAACTATGAGATTAAAATCACGTCATATCTTTCTTTCTACGAACTAATTCTTTCTTCCTGTACTATATCCTTATTGCAATCTTTCTTTTATATATTACCACCACTGAATTAACTATTTCTATGAATCCGATGTTTATCTTGCTGTGCTAATGCGGTGGACCGATGCATATATGTGCCTGATCGTACGTTGTAGCTGACTGACTGTTCGGACTCAAAACTGAGGATAGAAGGTAAACATATTGGCTGACCAGAAGAAACTAAGATTATATCGGCATTAACTCAAGTTTAATCTTGCCAGTCAAAGTGTATACTTGGTCAAAGCTTAGAACACTAGTCTGCATACGAAATAGAACACGCAAGGTAAAGAAATTATAATCGGGATTATAAGTGGCGAATCATCATTAGATGTCGAAAAACTTGTGGTCATAACAATATCAACGAGATAAAGAAACTAAAAACAGTATTTTATTTCGATTTTCATCTGAACATGAAACTAAAAGGGTTTTGGAAAATCGGGACACATTGTTTAATGAACGATTATTTAAATACAGTAAACCAATTTATTGTTTTACGTAAAATCGCACAACGTCTTAGTAGAATATGAAAATCATACAGTAAATGCATCATTTGCATATATTCCTTCACTTGTTTTTGATATAATGCAACAGTCTAATACTGCTGTTATTTCGATTGCTCTCCATTTTCCATCCTGTTCTTCTGCTGGTAAGTATTCCACTCCCTTTTCCTGCTACATACTACTTATGTGAAGCATCAAGAGATGTTTGAACAGTCCCATACCAGAATCATGGAAGCCCTGATGCAGAAATTGTGCCTATCCCAGCAAAACCTTGCTTCTGATGAATCACAAGTATCCCATACTGATTCATTCATTAACTCCATCCATGAATTTAATTTTGATGGTGTAGCAGGTGTAACTTTCGATTCTTGGTTTAAGAAATATGAAGATTTGTTCTGTATTGATGTCTGACGACTGGATAACGCTTCAAAGTCAGAATACTTTTAAGAAAACTTGGGACGATGGAACATGGACGCTATAGTAACTTCATTTTCCCGAAGAATCCACAAGACTTTAGTTTTGATGAAACAATTAAAACCCTGTCTCAAACATTTGGAGAACAGTCATCTCTACTTAATAACCGTTACCAATCCTTGAAGATAACGAAAGAACCAGGAGATGATTGAGTGAAACATGCAGGAATTGTGAACCGAGACATTGAAGCGTTCAAGTTGTCTACTATGACTGAAGACGAGTTTAAATGTCTAGTTTTTGTCTGTAGCTTGCGTTCACCCGAAGATGCTAATATCAGAACTGTCCTAACATGACCCTGAATGAAGTAGATACCGAATGCAAAAGGTTAGTGCATTTGAAGCATGATACTCCGATGGTAGAGAACGGTAACCCGTTCATTCACGTCAATGCAGTCGAGAGGAAAGTTTTACAAGGTTCCAGCACGCAGAATTATTGAAATGACAGAAACAAACCATCATCCTCACACTAGTTATGTGGAGTTTGGCTTTCCAAAAGATCTTGTCCTTCTAAAAATCATCGTTGTAATACGTGTTCTACAAAAGGGCACAAAGAAAGTCATTGCAAAACCCGGAAACGCCGTCAACAGAAAGTGTGTTCTAAAAGATTCAAGCCACGAATAGCTAAAGTAACGGTGGCTTTTCACAAGGCCGGCTCATATAACCGTAGAAAGTATGTTTCTCTCGAGATTAATGGGTATGATGCCCGCTTACAGTTAGATACAGCCTCTGATATAACACTTATAAGCAGGAGAATGTTGGAGAAAATTGGTAGACGAAAATCTATTCAACTCATCAATCAGCACAGAGTGCATCTGGGGGAATTCTAAATATTGCTAGTGAAATCACAGTCGGAGAGTTTACGAAGAAGGGTGTAATATTTTTGACAGAACGTTCATCACTCGACTTATTAGGGTTTGATTGGATTGAAAGGTTGAAGCTAACAGACCGGCCCATAAACTCGGTCAGCAACAACGTCGATACGTCGGAAGTTGAGAAGGACATATTCAAAAAAAGCACTACCGAAAGGGGAAGGAGAGGACACAAGTCAGATAATTACGAAATTCTTAACGGCTTATCGAACTACGCTTAACCCTATCGTCCCAGATGGGAAATCCCCTGATGAAGCGATGTTCGTGAGAAGCATCCGAACTATATTCGACGTCATGTTACCACCCAAACCAGATAAAATCAGAATATCCGGAGTTTTAACGTAGGTGATAAAGTGCTTGTCAAATCATACATTGGGAAAAAATCGTTGGGAACCTTGAGTCGTTGAGAAGAGAATGGGAAATGTCTTATACAAAGTGCATGGGACTTTCGGAACGTGAATTAGATACATTAATCAAATACACAGAGAGAAAAGGACTCTAGACAAGGTAGATAGTCGAGTGAGGCTTCCGCTATATATAATTACAGATACTCCAATGACAGGAACCCCAACAGACACTCATAGACTCTGGATACCAAGAAAGTCCGGACGCCACAGAAAGCCAGTTATCAAGCTGCAAGTAGACCCGAAGAAGAGGTCTTATTATTTAAAGGGGGGGGTGTTGGAGTGATCGAGAAAATTTCTCGCAAAAGACAAGAAATGCTCAGGAAACACTAAGGAGCATTTTATCTATTCAGCGTTTACTAGAAGTTTAGTCAGAAACATTAAGAAAGAGAAAAGTCACATGCAGAGTTTTTGATTGGCCGATTACTATACTGCTACTATGTAGTAGCATACCAGAATTTTCGGGAAACCCAAGGACACCTCAAATATTATAAAAACCTTATATTTTCTGTACTAAAACGAACCTTCTCGCATATTTTGCGCCTTTTCTCTCGTGCTCAGGTCGCTGTGTAGTTCCAGCTTGGGGGTCACGAGAATAACGTAGGAATTGAATATAGCGTTCAATTAGCAAGACTTATCAACGACTGGGAAAAAACTAATCTGACCGACTGAACTATAAGCTTCACACATTATTCAATAGAAAATGAAGCGTTATTGAATAGTTGCTTGTTTCATAATCAAGAACTGATCAATCGCCATTCATTTCCCCACTATATTATAATGTAAAGACCATGAATATATACAGTTTGAATACACAAAACATCAAATAACAACCTACACTTTGTAATTGAACTGGACCAACTTCCAGTTGCATCTACAACGGGAGAAAATAAGATTAAGAAAGCCACTATTATTTAACTAACATCATTTTGATTTCCTTTAGCGAAAACAATAAAAACATTACAGAAACATATTTGTACGTAATAAGCGGATTTTTACTGAGTAAACGTAAACTACAAGTCGAAACACTGTTGGACAAGCATGGATCAGCGCCAATGGTGGTTAATATATTTATTTAATGTTTCACTAGTGAATAGCCGTTTCCAACTCTGGAATTTTAGACACAATAAGGTATTTATTAGTAGGCTAAAGAAATGGTCATTTGAAACCAAATGCACATGCAAATTTCCTGTAATATTTCCCAGAGAGAGTGATATAGATTTACATTTTTTTAAAAATGTTGAATGTTTGCGTATAACAGGATTTTAAGAAGTAGTAACAGTAAGACAGGAAAAGTGATTAAGATAACAGAATATGAAACATTTGCAAATCAATCTGGTGCATTTACATTTAGTTGATTACCAAATATTGAGTAACTATATTTAACTTAAAGTTTCAGATGTCTTTCATATTACAATAAATCATGGATTACATTTGTTTGCAGCCATGTGGGCTTTGGTTAATGACACATAATAATGAGAATATTTATCCAGTGATTAATAATAACCCAGGTATCAAGTTCATTTGATACGACTAACGTAACCGAGGTAACATTACTACAATGATTACAATAATGCACTTATGTGTGCTTGGAAATGACATTGAGAACACCATTGCAAATGGACGGTAAAGTAAAGGTTATGGAAGTAGATGAGACAGATATTCAAAAGAAGAATTACAATAAAAAAAGGAACTTAAGATTAAATAAATCTTTTTGGATAGCGTTCCTCACTGTAAACTACCCATCACTTCTTGCATGTTTTGTTCTAGAAAATAATAATGCCACTAATTGTGTAGGATTATTTTATGTGAACAGTCCCTGTTACTAACCAACTAATTGATCAAAAAATGATATATGTCATAAATATTTTATTCTGTGTCATATTGTCATAAGGACAGATGTAAGCGAATGAAAAGGTGGTCACTATAAAATATACGGCAGTGAAATGAACGACAACACAATACAACTGGTGTCTGTTGAATCATAGCAATTCTCCGATTGTGTTTTTAGGAATCATGTAATTCTGTGTCTTGAGACGTCATTACTTTTGAAGATGGATAGTGGCTAGCAGTGGAATCCAGGACGCGCGTTTCGTCCTGTTTGGGACTCGTCAGCTGGATATACCTGCATCTCAGTCCAAAAACATCAATGGGAAGATTCAAATAAAACAATATCAAGTGAGTCATTACTTTTTGTTCAGAAGAGAAACTAATGATGATCAAACTCCTCATATGGGTAACACAAACCTTATATTTCTTAGATGTATTTATAGATGAACAACGGTGTTTAACAATGTTATTGAGCCCATTCGGTTATTGATATGACATTTGCCTCTTAAATTTATTTACAATATATTGATAATATTTTGTGAGTATCACTCTTGTGGTTTCCTGTGTTATCAGTGTTACCTGTGTAACAAATAAACTAAAAGACTAGTTAGAATTATGATTTCTTGATTAAATATTCAACAAATTTCCCATTAGCAATCTGATGAAATGGGCATATATTGTAGGAAGACAATTATAGTTCAATAATCAAAACATTCGACTTTTATTAATGAGATAGAAGTTGTAAGAATAATTTAACAATAGCTCAAAAATTCCACTGATTGACCACCGAATAGCAATGCACAGTTATTCGTGCAAAATCAATTCTCTAGACGAAGTTGCAATACATATACTAGTGTAAGTCACTGAACAATACCTGCACTGTGCACTGATATTAAGTCTCATTCTACGATCGGCAGTAAGCACAAAAATGACAACGGCTACTATTCAGTGGTCCCCAAATGCCCTGGGATGGCCGAGAGCGGGGTGGGCTCGCCCTCCCTCTCGAAATACCCTCAGACGGCAACACGTATACATCCTCTGCCAGGGAAGTCCTACTCAATGCCTTCTCGTGGCGGGGTGTTGTCTACGAAAATGAGAAGACAAAAAGCGAATATTGGCACTTTAACCGGATCCCAAATCAATGGTGTACAATAGGTTTCAGTATCCTGCGGGAACAAATGGCGTATGAACCAATTTCTTGGTCACCGGCAACCACGGGACTGCATCTCCTTACGATGCTCCACTGGCTTGTGGGTTAGACCTTTAGGTCAAAGGCTCGGGGCGTAGCCCCCTACGAAAACCACTTGCTTCGGTCTAAGCACCCGGGCGGTATCACAGCCAACAAAAAAATGATGAACTGTCGTCTATTTATGGAAAATATTCTTCTTGCTCCGAATAACAATCAAATGACTCACATTATTATTATTATTACTATTATTTTTATTATTATTATCATTATTATTATTATTTACTACGTCATTTATTCACCCTCTTTTAGTCCCACTCTGTTGATACTTATTTTTCGACTTATAAAGCAGCTCGCCTATAGTGGAAATTTCGCTCTATCTAAACGTTCTCGAGTCACCGCCTGGTTAAAAATTGTATGCTACCACCGAATACGAGTACTGAAGCACTTTTTCTGAAACCACGTGCACCAATCAAACTGGCTCCCTTTAACGTTCGCACACTTATGCAGGTCGGACAACAGATAGGTCTGGTTATGTCTTTGGAAAGTCTTAATATTGACGTTTGTTGTCTATCCAAGACCCGTGTTCACTTGTTGGTCGCAGGACACATAACAGGGATCGTCTACTGCAACTGTGCACAGACCACAACCTGTTTCTGGCTAGCACTAACTTTCGGCACAATCATCGCCGATGTGCCACATGGCGTCCTCCCTCTGCATCTCAAGCCTGGACTCAGATTGATCACATCACGATCAGCTACCTCTGGTGTGGTTGTGTACAAGACTGCCGCTCCTTTTGGAGTACCTATCTGGACTCTGATTATACCCTGGTCTGCGCCAATCTTACCTTACTTTTCAGTAGCCAACGAAGTGACCACCACCAAAGGATTGATTTTAGCAACTTGGTTGCAGCTTCTGTTGCTAGCAAGTATCGAACCGAGCTAGCTTCTAGGCTAGCTACCATTCCACCGAAAAGTATAGATGAGCACTGGTTGCAATTGCATGACGCCATGAAAATGGCGAGTGCAGTCGCTTGCGGCTTCGAGAAACGTCCCACTTACAAGCACTGGGTTTCTTCAGGGTTACCAAATCTCACCATTCCTCCTCAACTTTGCCATCGACGACATTCTGGAAACAGCTCTGATGAATGTAAGTAATGGTGGTGTGGATCTGTTGCCTGGAGAAAGACTTCTCGACCTTAAGTATGCGGACGATATTGTCTTACTGTGCGATAATGCCCAAGGCATGCAATCCGCACTTAATCAGTTGGCAATCAGTGTCCGTAGGTATGGTATGTGCTTTGCACCTTCGAAGTGCAAAGTACTTCTACAAGACTGGCAGGATTCCAATCCTGTACTCACCCTGGATGGTGAGCAGATAGAAGTAATCGAGAAGTTCGTGTATCTAGGTAGCTGCATAAGTGCTGGTGGGGGTGTGATTGATGAGATCAATGCACGTATAGTGAAAGCCAGAGCGGCTTATGCCAATCTGGGCCATCTTTGTCGCCTTCGTGATGTTAGTCTGGCCGTAAAAGGTCGGATCTACAACGCGTCGGTGAGAGCAGTTTTGCTCTATGCTTGTGAAACCTGGCCTCTCCGAGTTGAGGACGTTAGACGACTCTCAGTGTTCGATCATCGCTGTCTCCGAAGGATTCCTGACATCCAGTGGCAACACCATGTCAGTAATGCAGAGGTTCGGCATCGTGTGTTCGGACACAGACGCGATAATGCAATTGGTGTCACCATCTTGAAACACCGACTTCGGTGGCCTGGGCATGTTCTCCGAATGTCGTCCCAGAGAATTCCACGTCGTGCATTATTTGCCGACTCTGGGACTGGTTGGAAGAAGCGGAGAGGTGGTCAGTGCATGACATGGTGTCGTGGCATGAAAGAAAGCTGCAAAGGGCTGGCTTATGTTGGTCCTTCACGACTCCCTGGTTGGGGTCCTACAGATGGTGCAACACAGTGGCTAGAGACGTTATCAGATATGGCTCAGAATAGAAGCCAGTGGCGATTTTACTTTTTTCGTAAAAAGTGGTTGCTTCTTCCTTAACTGAATGATTTCTTCTGATTGTGCCTTTCTGTTTCCCTCGTTATTGTTATTACACTACCTTACACTAATCTGCTCGTTATTGTTCTCTTTTTTTTACGCTCCTTACCTTTTTTTAATTCTCTTTAAATTCTCATTGTTTTATGTGGTGCATATATATTTGCTGCCCTCTTGTACCAATATTTATGTGTTCAAATAAATAAATAATAGAGCCAAGCAAAACATCAGCTGTGACCCGGATACCTTAGCAGTGTGAGATCAGTTCCGAGACAACTGCTGATACGCTTTGGTGACAAACCTGGATGAGACCTAAGTCGATGAAATCGTTTAAATTGCCTTTCACACAAGCACATACTTTAAGATATGATTACATAGAAGAGCTGAGGCCTCAGTGGTCAAAGTACTCAAGCTCCAATTAGTAGGTTGAAGGTACGAAAAACCTCGTCCCACTTCGGTTTAGATAATAAGATAATACTGATATACCTTACACAATAATTATGATTTAAGGGTGAGGACATAAATTTCCATTATAGTTAACAAATTAAATTAACCTATCTATCGATTATACAGTATAGCGGTTTGTGAAGAATGAAAAAAGGTATAAAATCTATGATATCAAACTAGATTACACCGATATTAAAAAGTAAAAATAACACAACATTTGAAAAGAAAGATACAATATACTTCACTTACAGGTGGCAAACTGACAACTGGCTTATCATCCAAACGTTTTTCAATAAAATATGTTTTGATCACTACAGATACCCAATGGAAAAGGGAAAATAAAACAATAGAAAAAGTCATTTTGGACACACATATGTAATTGCATATATAATTAATAAATAAAAAAAAACAAAGCAGATAGTCAAAGTTATTTAAGTATAAGTCAGTAAACAAGTATATGTTTGAGAATCATTCAGCTTGTCAAACTAAAATAGGTGAGGTGAGGTTTACACTTGCAACCTATTAATTCAAAGGTAGATGAATTTATTAACTGACCGTCATTTTTCCACAAAACCAGAGTAACGTGCTCGCTTCCTATGATACTAAGAGTTCCACGAGTTCTTCATAGCATAATACAAGGCTAACACAAGTAAATCCATCTTTTTGAATTTATCAAGTGTGATTGTTGAAGATGCCTTCTTTGAAGCAATTGAGTAGGAATCGAATGTTCATTTGATTTTTCTACTTATCACATTCTTATCATGATGCTGAGTTAAATTCAGTGCTAATGAAATAATTGTGTAATACTATTTAAACGTAGTGAGAAAAACATACAACAAAAACGATCACTTTGCAGTTATTGTTGTCAATCATGAATCATGCACAAATAATCCTTCTCATCAAACACCCGACATGTTATAGATACGTCCATATACTAACTTTGACTTCAGTAAAGTGAATGAGATACCTTTTTTCCTCTTTTTCCCTGCCCCGCTAACGAGATTAAGAAATTCAGTTTTATAACGGAAGCTCCGCTAATGATCACCTCAGTAGAACCAAAAAATAGATTTAGGGCAATCAGTTATATATTGATAACAACGATTCAAATTTATGAACTGAATTATTATCACGAAACACGAACCATAATAAAAATGTGTTTAAAGTGAATCATGAATTAACTTTAAATTGATATTGATTTCCTTCCTTATAAGTTAGAATTAGGGATTGTGATTCCACTAAGCTATTGAGTTTAGATAGCCACTTTTTTAAGTGATTAGGTCCCTAAAGCGAAAGATACCATATCCAAGTCCTTATATGAAGATCAATAAAGGGATGCACGTACATTTAGCTTGCTAGTCCCAAATAGGATGAAATGAGTGCTCTGTATTATTCTGCCAGCCACAGTTATCCTATTCTATAGAAATTGTGACAAAATAGCTATTTTGAAGCAACCCGTATACGATGCATGCGTGCCGACAAAGACTGACCAAAATAATTAGTAGATTAGCAATAATAATAATAAATATAATTATATGAACAAAGAATATTCTTTTCAATAATTTCTCATCAGATTCAACAATTATAAATCCAAATTAATAATCCATAAAATTGGCCAGATTTAAAGCAGAGTACATCATTTAAAATTGTAATATGTGAATCAAGAATTGTTGTTTGTCATATAAAATCAAATCAAATCGTTAATGTTGGAGCTGACTAATATAAAGTGTTAACTTGAATCAGTTTATAAGTGAAATGAAATTGTGCGATAAAGGATTAGAATAAATATGGTCAACATGGCGTGAGAGAGAGAATAATGTAATTGCAAATCACAAATTACGTAATATGTAGAATAATATGAATTATGTCAGATATAGTAGATAGGGATGGATGCTGAATACATTTATTATTACACTTGACAACCTTTTTGAGAAATTAGCCGTAAATCTGACCAATTTTATGGATTATAATTTTGGATTCATAATTGTAGAACCTGACGAGAAATTTTTGAAAAGAATATTCTTCGTTCATATAATTGTAATTTAATATAACGGGAATTTTTTAGCGAATAATAATAAATAATCCGAAAAGTGGTTTAGAAGATTTCAACTTTTCCAATATTCGTTCAGTTACAAGAATTAGTGTTCAACAATGATGCTGATCCTGGTTGTTTCAAAAGGTACTACTAGTTGTAAGGACTTCATCTAACATCATAGCCATATGCAAGGCATAAATGACGCAAGACACTTCTCTTCACTGAAATAATTACCTCAGAAGTAGTCTCACGTTCATCTATCTCTACTTCCGTTCAAATATACTATTTTCTGAAACATTGTCACTTTATCTGTTTTCCGGATATCATACTTAGAGCATTTTGACGTCAACATCGTCTGATTCTCTCTTACCTAGGAGTAACGTCAGAGTGCAATCACAAACTTCTGTCAGTCTTTTCAATAGTCCTGAAAAACAAATCTAAAACTTATAAACGATGATTAAGTGAGATTTCAACGGCGTGTATATTAGTTGAATATTTGACGGTGAGAAAACATTTAGCCAAACAACAGTTCGGAACTAACCTTAAACAGACATCCAATTTAAAAAATGAAATACAAACTAAACTAATGAATAATTAGATAACGATTCTATACTACTGAAATATATATCAACATCAGAGTGGTAAGAATCGGATTTTAAGATGGAAATACATATTAAGGGTATTATTTTGAATTCGCCAATAATTTTTTACTGAATTATTAAATTTATAATAATAAAAACCATGCATCATCCAGGAGTCAACCATACAAGGATACGATGAATGAAGGAAACACATTCGGGACCTTACCTAACCATAGTGAACAAACTAATTAAGCGGTATAAAACATCAGGCTGTCTATTAAGGATAATAACCTCAAATAAAATTTATTATGGAAAAACTGAATACTATTGGTGCACAGATGATGATTAGGACTTTTTTTAGGATAAATTATTCCTTGGTCGTTTGAATTAATTTTAAAGATTGGTGTTAATTTCGACATTCTTTCTAATGTGCCCTGACATCAGAGGGTGTATTATTTAAAACGTATTATATGAATCTAATTAAGAATTTTGTCTTTACTTTTGTAGAGTCAAATGCTAACTTTCATGTGTGTACGCCTATAAATAATGCATGTGAACTTTTGTATGTTGTTTTTCAACGTACACACATAATGACAATTCCGATATTCAGTTATGTATTTATTGGGGAGATCCAGGAAAATTCATCGCAAAAAAAGCCAAGAAAGGTTCAGAAAACACTGAGAAGCATCTTATCGAATAAGCGTTCATTAATAGTTTTGCCAGAAACATCTAAAAAGTGAAAAGTCGCATGTCGAGTTACTGATTGGATGAGTACTTATACTGCTACTATGTTTAGTAGCATTCCAGAATTTTCCGCAAAACCCAGAGACATTTAAAATACCATAAAATCCCTAAATTTTCTGAACATAAAGAAACCATATTTCGCGCCTTTTCTCTAGTGTTCAAGTCGCTGTGTCGATCCAGCCTGGGGGTTACTAGAAGAGCTTACAAACCGAATCTAGCGTTCAGTTAGAAGACTTATCAGTAGCGACGGGGAAAACTACAATGAATATTTCTTTGGAGCAAATAGAAACTTATATGGAGCGTCAAGAGAAGCGGTTTGATTAGTTACCATTCAGAATCATGGAAGCCGTGATGCAGAAATTGTGCCTGCTGCTGGCGAATTACAAGCACCTCATACTGATTCAGTCATTAATGCAATCCATGAATTTAATTTTGGTGTAGTAGGTGTTACTTCTGACTCTTGGTTTAAGAAATATGAAGATTTGTTCTGTATTGATCTCTGAAGACTGGATAACGCTTCAAAGTCAGAATACTTTTAAGAAAACTTGTGACGATGGGACATAATTCTCCCTAAGAACCCACGAGACGTTTGATGAAACAATTAAAACCCTGTCTCAAATATTTGGAGAACTTACTTACTTACTTACGCCTGTTACTCCTCGTGAAGGAGCATAGGTCGCTCAATTTGGAGAACAGTCATCTCTATTTAGTATCCGTTACCAATCCTTGAAGATAACGAAAGAACCAGATGACTGGGAGAAACATGCAGGAATTGTGAACCGAGACATTGAGGTGTTCAAGTGGTCTTCCATGACAGATGACTAGTTTAAATGCCTAGTATTTGTCTGTAGCCCATTGTTCACAAAAAATTAAAAGGAGTGATGGGCCATGCTACAATTGCATAAGACATCAATCCTAGAATCTTGAGGTCTGTCTAGCCGATAAACGCATTACCTGCAAATGATTTAGTAAGAATCAAAAGGTATACACACAATTACAACTTCAGTCAGTTGGCAATAATTTGTGATGATTATCTAATATCATAGGTTATATATTATATCTCAATTCTGGCACACATGAACGTTTTCCTGAGACGACATTGCTTTCATAGAGTTGAGATGACTGTCCAGTTATTTCTTGGTTTTTGGAGTTGTTCTCTAGCAATTCATATACCAAAAAATTAGTTAGTAGAACAGGGAAAAGAGAAAGTGTCTTGTGAAAACAATATTAATTTTACTTACTAGCTTCATCTTGAGTATGTTTAATGGCGAAACATTGTTCTTCTTTATTAAAAAATTCAACTAACACTTTGAATTTTCGAATATCTATGGAAAATGAAAAAGGGGAATAGATTATATTTACGAAAATAGTCAACATTTATTGAACAACCATCATCCGAATTGAAATATGATTAGCATAAAAAAATTAATTTCTGTCTAATTTACATTCAAAATAGCAAAAAGCACAAATGTTTTGAAATGTCAGTAACTATAATCGATCTCGAAACGTGAAAGTTTTCTACCAGTTCTGCTGCTACAACTAATTTTTTCGACCCATCATATTTAAAAAATAGTACAGTCGTCTCGTGTTTCCTTATAAGATAGAAAGGCAAAGAAAGTCAACAATTGTGGTTCTTCCGTTTGAGATTTTTATCACATTGCATCCATCATAACTCCGTACAAACAGCTTCAAAACATAGAGGCTATTTTGTAGGTGTCATTACCAAGGTTTGACCTTATAACTTGAAATAAATTGAGCATTGGTTATATTGTTATTAATAAAAATGATATATTTGTAAATTCCCAACGAGTAGAAAAATTATTTTTTCTGACGTTTCGTGACACTTCTTTGGCGAATAGAGAAATGAGGATGTGAACAACTACACACAGGTGTTTATGTACAAGAGTTTTAGAACATCAACCTGGTTAAGAAGGATTATTCATTTGTGATTCTAATTTACTGAATGTACACGTACCATAATTCCATAAAATTATATGCTGAGGAAAAATAAAAAAGCTATATGATAGATCCACCTAAATTAAAAGTGGTACAAGTTATTTGATGAATATATTAATTTTATTAGTTGAGATCATGAGTCAATTGAAGTTAGACCACCACGGAAAACCTGGAAGCACTGGACGGCCGTTTCACCCAGTTGTGGGACTCCTCAGCAGTGAGCACCCACGATCCCGCTTCGCGAGATCTGAACCCAGGACCTATCTGTCTAGTGAGAAGCAGTGACCTGTGAGTTCAATTGGGTCTGTGGTGAGATAGTAAGTCACTGAAGATAATGGTGGATATGTCGCGCAATTTCGTGGATTTATTTATTTATTTATTTGGACACATGAATATTGGTACAAGAGAGCGCCAATATATATGCGCCACACAAAACAATGAAAATTCGAGAGGAATACAGAGAAAGAAAAAAAAGCTAAGGAGCGCAACAAAAAAAAGAGAGAACAATAACGAAGAGATTGGTGTAAGGTAATGTGCTAGTAATCAGGGAACGCAAAGGTACAATCGGAAGAAATCTTTCAGGTAAGGGAGACAGAACCACTTTTTATGAAGAAAGTAAAAGAAGGTTACAGCAGGATCGCCACTGGCTTCTATTCTGAGCCATATCTGATAACGTCTCTAGCCACTGTGTTGCACCATCTGTAGGACCCCAACCAGGGAGTCGTGAAGGACCAACATAAGCCAGCCCTTTGCAGCTTTCTTTCATGCCACGACACCATGTCATGCACTGACCACCTCTCCGCTTCTTCCAACCAGTCCCAGAGTCGGCAAATAATGCACGACGTGGAATTCTCTGGGACGACATTCGGAGAACATGCCCAGGCCACCGAAGTCGGTGTTTCAAGATGGTGACACCAATTGCATTATCGCGTCTGTGTCCGAACACACGATGCCGAACCTCTGCATTACTGACATGGTGTTGCCACTGGATGTCAGGAATCCTTCGGAGACAGCGATGATCGAACACTGAGAGTCGTCTAACGTCCTCAACTCGGAGAGGCCAGGTTTCACAAGCATAGAGCAAAACTGCTCTCACCGACGCGTTGTAGATCCGACCTTTTACGGCCAGACTAACATCACGAAGGCGACAAAGATGGCCCAGATTGGCATAAGCCGCTCTGGCTTTCACTATACGTGCATTGATCTCATCAATCACACCCCCACCAGCACTTATGCAGCTACCTAGATACACGAACTTCTCGATTACTTCTATCTGCTCACCATCCAGGGTGAGTACAGGATTGGAATCCTGCCAGTCTTGTAGAAGTACTTTGCACTTCGAAGGTGCAAAGCACATACCATACCTACGGACACTGATTGCCAACTGATTAAGTGCGGATTGCATGCCTTGGGCATTATCGCACAGTAAGACAATATCGTCCGCATACTTAAGGTCGAGAAGTCTTTCTCCAGGCAACAGATCCACACCACCATTACTTACATTCATCAGAGCTGTTTCCAGAATGTCATCGATGGATCGTGGATTAGTTGAAGTTGATGAATATACGCCTATTAAGACAATTTCAAATATAGGCGTATATGTACACTAACTACACATGAACATTTTTGCTTCAGCGAATTACTATTCAGAAAACTGAAACATAATACACTTTCGAAAATCACACTTTTCTGATAAGTAATTACATAAAACTGACACAATGCGAAACAATTGGTTGTTGGGATCAAATGAATCGTTGAACCATATGTGTCTATCCTACAATCAATGTTACTTTGTAAGTTAATTGGTGAGTATAATTTTTGGACAACCTTTGAGCGACGCTGAAATGACCTTGAAAGTGTTCACCTAAGAACTAGGACCAAATGGGGATTATAAACCAGCGTGAATAATTAGAATTATGATTTACAGTTGATGGTTAGGGTCAGGAATTATATTTTCAGATTTCATCACGAACTGACATCAGCTATAATGCCGAAACTCTATTTAGCCAAATCGATGGGTGAATTTCACGCCAAAATCCAAGACATGTTATCTTATATCCGATTGGTTCGTTCGTGAATTATAGTCTCGCCAGTTCATTTCCTCTATGCAAAAACTATGTTCACACATGTATGTATGCCAGGTGAACGTTCAACTCGTACATCAAACTTGTGAAAAGATACTGTGACAAACGAGAAAAGTGAAATTCAACATTTTCGGAAATATTCTATTGAAACTATTGTGGCACATAGTTAGCACTGTATGCAATACCTATAGACTTTTGTATCAACTAACAATGCGTATTGTAGAAACAGCCTCCCGTCCCAAAAACAGTGATGTAACTCAATTATGAAGTCAGTCACTCACTCACAATTTTGAATCCGGTACGTACGTACAGCAGACCAAGTTGCCATACCCCGTTGGCACAGAGAGATGAAATAGCGATGTACCAAGTACAAGTTTATGTCTGCTCAGCTTTAAGCCATAGATTTGAGTGCTTAAAGAGGCTAATATATAAAATTTTGGTGTTTTTTTATTTAACAGATATTCACAAAATTTGTAGCCAAGCTTGCAGGTCATTAACAAACATGTTAATATAATTGCGATCAGTATTTGGAAACGTTAGGAGACATGGTTCAGAACCAGTCACAATGGCGCAGATGGATTCACTCTTTATCTAGAAAATGAATTTCAGTATTCCTTCACACATTCCTTCTTATTCCAACTTCTGGAACCGTGTTCTTAACATTCAGTCTTTCTCATTATCATTGATACAACAATTATTTCGATTTGTTTGTCATTTATCTTGTTAACTTCATTCCATAGTGATATGCTGCTATGTGCCAAGCTTTACTTTAATAACAGCGGATTAACTCAACTTGATTCGATAAAAAATTCACCTACTAACACAACTATTACAATTAAAACAGATGTATAAGAATGTCTCATTGATGGACGTTCGAATCAAAGAAGTGGTTTGATACTTTATCTTCAACTACTGAGAATAAGATTCAGTGTTCTCTGAATGTAATTTGGTTCGAACACTGGGTGAGTATCGTAAGCTACTACATATAAAACGTAATTCAAATTCATGAACATAAACACGAAAGCTTGAATTAATAACTGGGAAAGCACGTTAGTTTCTTCAAGGTAGAAAATAAACCGTATGTGACTCTCAACTAATTGCTGATAGCCTTTCCCTGCTCAACATCGAAATTAAGGCTATCATTATACCATATCATCAGATAGTTTCAACATACGTTTTCATAACTGTCTTATCCCTCACCAATCCTCCGAAATTGAAATTAATAGACTATCAAAATTGAAAAGTAACATAGGATGTATTGGAAAGACAAAAGAAAAAGCATAATTATGGGTAGGCAAAACACAACTGACCATGAACAGGTTTTCCTTCAGAAACTTCATAAATATCTTTTACAAAACTTAAAGTAGCCTCAGAAATGTGCACTTTTCCCGCTTCACCACTGGACTCCATTTCATTAGCTAATGTAACATCATTTGACCAAACATCGAATTTAAAACGTCTTGTTCCGACAATTCCACAGATCACTTTACCAGTGTGTACACCGACACGCATATTCACCTGAAATAATAAATGTACAGTGAAAACTCAGTAGTGTTTACTTCAAACAAGTAGTAATGAAATATGAAGACAAATGATGGGAAGTCCTTTTGGACCTATTTGGCACAAATCAGTAGGGTATACATTTGATATAAAAGGGAGTTACAACGAATTGTGAGACATAACATAGCAACACTGTCAGGTACATTACTACTGAGCTATTCGAGCAGAGACTGACCTCACTAAGACTAGAGACCATATGGGAAATCGATCGATAGAATTTGATTGAACAAACAAGATATTGGTCATTGTTACTTATTAATGCATGAAGTAACAAACATCAACACACGTTCACGGTAGAGTCGAATTAATTACGTCTTCTATGCCACAAAAAATAAATGCAGACAGCTCGTGACGATCGATAGGGCAAGGTAATTTTCGCTTGCTCATGTCTTAAAGTCAAAACTAGAAAATCTCAAATGAGTGATCAAAAACAAAATACTATTCATTTGATTGTACAAATAAATTACATCATAATGCACTGTATTTTTTAAATTTCAATACATAAATAATTAGAATATATCCTGGTAAAAACAAGTTGTATGGTTAAGATTGAATGGTTTTAGTTCTAAAATGCAAAATAATATAAAAATTAATGGGTCAAAAACGAGTTTAGGTTCGGGGATATGTATAAAATTGCTATAAGATAATCATTTTAATAATAATAATAATAACTGCATATTTCTTCAACGTCTTCAATAAACAGAAATATGTTATTTGGCTATTGTAAATTAACGAGTCCCTAGACTGGAGAGAGTTACTTTGAAAAGTCAGAGGTAGAAAAATTACCCTGATGAGATCTTTTGTGCCAAAAAATAGGAAACTGACCAGGCACTAATGGGTAGCTTGACCAAAGAAAATAAAAAGGACATATCTACAGTGCATATAGCTTTCTGAAAACTCGATGCTAAAACTAAGGAAGTTGGGGAAAATTGATTTCCAAATGAAAATGTATATGAGCTCTGATGAAACAAATGACCGAAAAATCTGTACCAATAGTCACGGATTACTACGGAAATGAAGGTTCTAGTTTGTAAACTTTCCTGTTAAAGAGTAGCGGACTGACCTTCAAAACAATGATAGGTTTTATATTGGATGTCTGACGATTTACAGCCCTTCATCGCCTTTTAACTGATGGAAGACATTTGGGGTTCTACAATTTAAAAATTTTGATTATTCTCAGGTATGCGTATTACTTGTCAGATGATATATATTTCTCCTAAACTGTACACCTGAATTAAGATATAGACAGAGTAGAATTTGAACCCATGACTTGAAAGATGAATTTGGTGTTCGTTACAATTTTAACTATGAACCATATATCAGGTTTGTATCGCAATGATGAAACATGCTTTCAGTTGCAAAACGTAGTCAGCTAGTTGGTGTAGTAGTTAGGCTCATTCACCATTGAAACATTATCTCTCTAAAGCTATTGTCTATCAAAAATTTAGGGCGTTTTCTTAAACTAATAATAAAATAACCTGTGTATTCTCAGTACGGTTACCGGCCCTATCTAAATATTTGTCCTTTTTTGTCTAGATTAAACAGTTCAAAATGATTGTGTTTTTATGACACCAGTAACGAAAATTTCAAGTACTGTTGTGTTTCCTCGATTCATTTCAGATCCATACACAAAACAGTTTGAAAAAAAAACAGAATAAAGTAAACTAGAATTCAAGAAAAAGACAAACAGACAGACAGGGAGGAGAATTGGCAAAACCGGTTTGTCTTCGTCTTCCAAAATGAAATAAGGAAATAGCAAAATTAAATGAAAAGGATGGTTACGGGAAGTGTGCTGATGATGGAAACATTGTTAGATGTTCAATATTGACTTGAATAAACAATAATCATAATAACAGTATGATTGAATATGTTATGGTTGAAATCCTCGAGTGTATACCAAAGACTGATAAGTAACAGATACAGGAAATAATGTAGTAAAACGTGGATATCTCGGATAAAACTACGACCCAGAGAACACTGTAAACATGATGATGACGATGACCAACATGGAATGCTTATATAAAAACTAAAAATTGCAAAATGCATTATTTCTTGATGGTTTTCGTTTTTTTTTCTAAAAGAACATTAGAAGAGGCATTACAAAACAATCGACATACTACAATATAGACTACTACCAACTATCTATTTAAGTCCTAAAGTATTATCCTTCCACAATTATTATACATTCATTTCGATATCATCCACTTACGAGTGTGTTCAACTTGGAATTCCATTCTTTGTATTTCTCTCTTTGTGTGAGTGTGACTGGGTGAGAGAATCAGAGCTAGTGACACTGCTCGACTGGCTACCCTACGAGATGGGTGAAGTCGTAATGGGTTTTTAAACCTGTAGCCTAATAGTGATAGGGACAATTAATTTACTGGTATCAATTTACTTGCGTAGGTGGGATTTGTTGACGAAGAACAAACAACTCACTTCCTCATCAAAAATATTTTTAGAAATCACAGGAAAATCCTCCATCAAAAAATGATAATTTTCTATATATCATCCGTATACTACTAATGGCTAATTAGAACACGATGCACTTGAGTCCGACCGTTGTCAAGATAGGTAGATAGAAGTGATGACTGTTCTGAACAGATTGCATTTTGAACAAACCAGCGATTAGTGGTACGTAATATCCAACTTGTGATTAAGAATTTCCTAAATATATAAACGGTTTTTTTCTGTATCTGTGTATTGAAATACGTACTGCAAGAAGATAAATACCATCATAACATTTTACATCAAGCTAGCTCACTAATGATAGGCATTGTATATGGTTCCATCTAGATTATAATCTACAGAAACGAGGGAAAAACCAGTAACAGAAAAAAACCGCTTTTCGTCCCAGGAGGAAACCACAACATTGTGATATTCTACAACAGACGCACGTAAAACTAATTTTTTGATCAGTCAGTGAATTGATCAGTAACACTAGAGGAGTTATAAATGTTTGTGCTTGAGCTACAATTATTTACATATATTTTCATCAACCCATTTACTAGGTGAAAATGTGTGTATTTGGCTTCTAGCCATGTGAAAATCCTAGCAATCCTGGCCCAATCGAAATGGATGAACCAGGGTTCAAGCCTACGATTAGGTGGTTGGATTTCGGATGTCTTAACCACCGAGCCACTAATCCATTAACAGTGATGCATTTAAGCATATAAGCTAGTTATCTGAACTTGAATATATACGAATGAATAACAGGACATTGAAAACAGTCATTTTAATTTTAAAATAGGAAATTTGAGTCCGCACAACAGCGTATGATTAACAAGTGACCTTTTTCATACTGTGAGTATCGAGTGAGAAAAATCTACTTGTAACACATGCAAGTTGCCTGTCTGCCAATCAAAAGGCGTGTATACTGCGCAGAAGTTTTCTCTATAATTTTGTGACTGTGAAAAATAGTCCATTAAACTAGGAGACATGGATAAGTTGTAGGTTTTTGATCATAACTGTCTTTGAAGCACTGTCTGCTTTTCATCAAATCAACCGAGTAAAAAAATGTTGAGGTTAGCGCATAGTGTACTATGCACAGATAGAAATTCGTTTGACAAGGTGATGGATTTTTACCGATAGTGGTCAGAACGGGTGTTATGTAAATCTAATCATCGCTTAACTAGACAAGTGACGTCTGATGTAGGAGCAAGTTGAAAGAAAGAGAGGGAAGCCCAAACTAAGACGTAGTATCAGTTCATGAAGTCAATGACTGTTATTAAGAAACCTGTTGGTAGATACAGACTGTCTGTTTAAAGTCACACGATAACCAGTGGTCGTAAGACTTGGGGTAACATGACTCATAATCGTTTATAATGGCGCAAACGCTTTTACTCTATCTTTCGATATTGAATTCCCTCACATACACTGTCTTTACGAACCTTATTCTCAGTACTTAGTCTTTTTAACTGCCACTGCTTCCACATTATTCCTATCCTGTTAATCTCACTTCGTTGTGCTAATATAGTATGGCAACTTGGGACAACATTCATGTGCCAGGCTTCATTTTAATGGTGACTGATTAACTGGGTAACAAAAAATAAATTTTGATTAGAAATATAGTCGGACATCTACCATTATCGGTTACTTTTATGTAAGACGTTTAACAGACAACCTGTGAAACAAGTATGAGACTATATATATATATATATATATATATATATATATATATACTTACTTCCTCTGAATGATCTTCATCAAACTGTTGTATAGCTAAGCACATTGCTCTACCCATTTCCACTGTTCGCTCAGCATGATCTTCGGTTGGATTCGGACAACCAGAAACGCAATAATAACAATCACCAAGAGTGGCGATTTTCTCACAACCAACAAGTTCGCATAAACGATCAAATCTATCATTTACAGTAGTAGAAGACGAAAAATGACTGAAAATCCACATATGGATTATAATCACACCAAAATCCGTAAGAAAAATCTCATTCAACGTGATATATACCTGATAAAACCTACACATGTCATGATAATATTAGTATATGATACGTTTACAGTTATAAATTGGTAACCATATACACTGATGGCGGCCTGCTTAAATATCTGGGCTACCTGTTCCTGCTATTTGGATATTTCAACAAGTAATATGTTTTCTTGTTTGTTTTAACACATCGTTATGCCAATTGATCGCATAACCTATTCAGGTGTGTTTGTGAAAAGTTCACGACATTTCGCTGTACAAATTACAAAAGAACCCAATCAGAGACATCGTGGTTACTGGTAATATGCATCGGAAAGAATATAGACTAATCAGATGTCGATTTCTGAACCGCTAACATCTAACTGGAAACCACTCAATATTTATCGCAAGGATCGATCAAGAAATAAGGAAACTTGTTGAAATACTTTGTGCTGAGAATTCAATATTGTACCAAACATATAATATTGAATAAAGCCAATAATAATAATAATAATAATAATAATAATAATAATAATAATAATAATAATAATATGAATGCAAAATACCATAAAGTTAGGGTGAAATAAAAACTGGAGTGACAAAGTAATTAAAAGTTAAGCTTTCATCAGGAAATGGGCCATCTTAACAAAAGTTATCAGTAACAGTGACCTGTTAATGAATAGCTAATCAAGTGATCACAAGTTAGGAACCCTACTTCATATAATTGAGAGAGCATGAAAGTGTAGAAACACGTCAATTAATTTGAAGTACAACCCAAATACTTCTTTACTTACACTATGATATTATCTCAAACTCTTAAGGAGGATACTTTTTATTACAACTTGATTAAAAATATATTTTGTCTGTAAACTGATGAACAGAATACCGACAGGCAAATGATAGAAAATAATGATACGGCATGGTAAACTGACAACTACTCATGAAACTGAACCATTAGACTAAGTCCTCTTCCTTAGAATGAACTGGTATCAAAAAGTAATCAAACTGCCTGTAGGATTGGTTTCTTTCAGAATTAAGGACAAATTTACATACAAAACATTAAGCACAAAATTAAACATAATTACATATCTTTCACCACCGCGTTAAACATACTGCGGTTTGAGCAACCGGACATTATCATTAGCTCCCATATTTAGAGTGTGGCTTATATCCAAGTACCTAGTGAATCACTTTTTTTCATACACCACAAACATGAAGACCTGACAATCAGACCCTTTTGCTTGCTGAATGACACTCTACGACAAAATATTCTTTAATCAAAACTACACCATTTAGTTCACCAAATGAGTATGGTTATCTCGAAATTGTAATTACACATTCTGGATGAGTGCAGTCAGTCAGTCACAAAGTAGAACCTGGTACATATATACATCCGTTCAAGTTGTCATACCCCATTAGCATAGAGAGATGAAATTTTTAGATCGAATCGCAGAATGGTAGAGATAATAACAGTATCAGTGGTGATTTAAAAGAATAAGGATCAAAAATACGATTCCAAAAGAAAATATAAATTAATGAGATAAAAGCACGAGAATAGTTGCGAGGAAATCAGAATCGCAGAAATTGAGGAAAGATAGAGAATGAATGCACCCGCGCCATTGCAAGTGATTTTAAGCCATGTCGTTCAGTCTCTAACCATTGGTTACGATAATCTCGCGGACCTCAACCAGATAGTTCGCTCCAACTAACATGGCTCAGTCTAACTGTCAATAACTTTATGGATTGAAGATGCCCCTAATTTTCTTCTAGTCTACTCTTACACCACATAACACTGCCGGTCGAGATAGGTGATGGTTGGCCATGCGTAACAGATGTCCCAACCACCTTAGTTGATGAAGATTTATCACCTTTTCAATCGATTTGCCATCGTTATCTAGTAGCCTATTCCTAATCCAGGAATTGTTTACTTCATGATCCCAAAATACACGAGTAATGCCTCAAATACGTCTATAATCGAACACCAGTAACCTATGAACATTCTCTATTCTTAATGGTCATGTTTCACACCCATGAAGTAGAACGAAGCGGGCTGATGTGCATCCAACTTGCTCTTTAGCTGGCAGGCAGATATCTTGCCTAGGCCGCAAGTGACACAAGTTGACAGCTTGTGGAATATACTTCCCTCTTCCGAGCTTCGACTTCTCTCTCTAGTTAGCAGGGCTGAGACACGGCAGACTAGCTAGCTTATCTGTCATCGTGTCACAGTCTTCGTTCCGTTCTCAGATCACGGGAACTTGTAATCTTTTCAAACATAGCAGAATAATAATCCCATCTTTTTCCGAGATGGTTTCACCAACATCCGGATTTTTAACACCCGTTTCGTTGGTAAGTCCGAACAGTTTTTGTGACCTATCGCTGCTATCTTTTTCATCTCTTCTGCTTTCGCTACCCACCACTGCTCACGATTATTTCGGCTCTTGATTAACTAACGTTTAAGCTGCCTCTGCTCCTAATCGTGTTCATGGCCAGATGGGATGAGTTTATAAGCATATTTCAATTCTACAGATGCCCTTGAAATCCACTGATTTTTCCTAACCATTTGATTTAAAGTTACAGGTAGATATAATTGCTGTTTCCACAACTCTTTGGATATTATGTGAAGTTACCTCACAGTGAATATCGCTTAACTAACCGCCGGAGGCAGAAACCCGTGAGATGAGGTCCACCTTTTCTATTCCCTTCCTGTTGTGAGAAGACAGTACCGCTGCAGATGCTGGTTGTTCGAGGGAAACATTTTACTGTTGTCACATCCCTCTACAGTCAGCAGTAGGACTTCACCCTCGGGCCTTAAGCTGTTGCTTTTAATCCTACTGTTATCCAACCGATCCGCCTGGCATGGGCATTGTGACAATACCAAGTGTGTAATACAGAAGTAGTTTCAAAACCAATGAATGGATGAGCTACATACATATGCGTAAAATACCAATATAATTATTTGAGACTGACATATTTCCAGATATACACGTCGTAGATCCGAACCCCGGTCAATCTATTATCGTTTGAATAGACAAGCAATATCACTAGCTCTCTCGTATACAAAAACAGTAAGTCCCAAAGTTAAGTACGTAAATCAGTGCATGGGGTAAGAGAGTCTCATAAAAAATGGATCCGAATATAGTACGTAGATATATCGAAAACAATGATCCAACTCAATTATTAAATAAAAACTTGTGTACTCAGGATTTCGAACCATATTTTTTTAGTATTACAGTGTTATTACTACTGCCCGTCTGCCCGTAACCGAGATAGACGGAACTGAGTGCATACCTCCAACTCGATGATTGAAAATCCAGTTTATTCACTAACTTCCATGTACCCCACATGTATATTTGTTTGAGAGATTTGTGGAGGTTACTAAATGTGTGAACCACCGAAAGTCTCAAACTAGGACGAAGCAGCTGTCAAGTACTCTCTATTTGATATTATAATCAGCGGCAAGAAACCAAATTCAAGCCTATAGATATTTATGATAAAAGTGATGGGGAAGCCCATCTAGTTTGTTAAAATCAACAATAATGAAAATAATCAAAATCGGATAAATTCAATAGTTAATTTAGCCATGAAAGTCAATAAAACAGGATACTACGTATTGTTTGATTCTCATAATTTGCGATCCATACATAATTATATTTTGTGAATAATTTTAGAAATTTATTTGCTTTTGAAGTGATGTATTAAGAACATGTATTAAGACCATAACCATGGACTGATGAATAGAAATTGCTAAAATAAATGACTTGAGTTGTCGAACTGAACTTGATGTATTTTAATTTATTACACTGGCTGAACATCAAATAACTTCATCTACAAAACTGGTGCCTTTGCTCTAGTTAGCGGGTCAGGGAAAACAAGAGGACAGAATAGTTTTATTTACGGTCGAAGTAGATAAATTATTAGCACAGTGCACAAACGTATCACACTTTGATACACTACTGTGTAACCTATTTACAGCAAACTAATAGCAATTTGTTTGGACGATGGAAGACATAACACAGACTAACTGACTCAATATTTTCTTTGGAAATCTAAGCTGCTATTTAAATACAAATGTTTCCAACTAAAATCGTATGACTAAGTTTCATATCGGAATAAGAGTAAAAATGAGCGCCACCAAAATCACAATGTGATTGTTGTTAAGGAGATCCAGATGATTCCTTGAAAAAAGCCAAAAATGCTCAGGAAAAGCTGAGAAACATCTTATCCAATCAGTATTTAATAGAAGTCTTACCAGAAACATCTAGAAAGTGAAAAGTCACATGTCGCGTTTTTGATTGGATAATTCATTCTACCGCTACTATGTTTATTAGCGTTTAAGTCGCTGTGCGGATTTAGTCTGGGGGTTACCAGAAAGTTTAGGATACCGAATCTAGCGTTCAATTAGAAGAGTTATCATTTGTACTTTTATCCCCCCCTACCTCTTAAAAAACTTACGGAAAAAAAAGTGAACTTACCTCCCAAAAAGATCATTTAATAGGTAGACAAGATGTGATGCAGATTTATTCGAGCTCATTTTAGTAAAACCAACAATATCAGCAAATAATACACTGACATTTTCTAATTGATTCACATGAAACTTTCGAAATGCGACAGCTCGTGATGGAGGTACAACAGCTGCTTTAGGCATTAAGCTACATTTTTGACTACAAGGACTGCCAGCATCACTAACGCCAGAACCCATTTCTAAGTCATCTGAAAATACAGTAATTTAAATATATATGAATAAATAGTGAATTTAAACTTGTCGGAATTTATACATGCATGCAGTATACAACTAACTAACGTAACTTGAAAACGTCTCTAGAAAGTTTCAACAAATGCAAAACTGTTAAATAACTGACTTGCTTTGTTTTTAAAATGAATAATAGAATGAAATGAAAATAACATAGACAATATGATAAAATTACCTAAACTGCTTTACTAATTGCTAAAAGATACGAATCATATAAAGGAAAAATTGAAGAACAAAGATAGTGCTGCAATGGAAACTAAAATGTTAAATTATTTACAATTGGATTTTTTTAATAAAGTTGAAATGATCGAATATTCCAATTGTGACTGAGATTGACAACCGATTGCAACACCCAAATACCTTTCAACTTTTCAGACAATAATATTGACTTTATTAGACCAGTGGAACACAGCATTAAAAATCCTTGGGACATTTCTCATCAGATTTGAGTCTCAATTCAATAAATATAACTAGTGTACTAATAATTACTACTAATCATCGAGCAGTTGGTCGCACACAAAAATAACTATGATGTGTTAGTTAGCCAGTGCTTAGACAGAGATAAGTATTACAAGTTTCCAAACGTTACCTGCACCTTTGTTCGCAGTTCCAAGTTTCTCTGATTATCTACCCGATTGGCCAAGTCGTAATGTGTCCACTCCATTATATTCCACCGAGTATGGCTTGTGGGTAAAATACATACTATGTTGTACTGCCTTACTTTTAGTACAGAAATGTATGAGTAGAGTTGACAAAAACCATACCGAGTTACAAGAAACACTTACAACTGTTGTTTCTTAAAATACCGGAACTGCTCCTTGAATCATGTGATCGTAAATGAGTTATTTTCTTGCTAAAGGGCAATACTGAATATTATACTACTTAGTAAAGTAGACTTCTAACGTTTTATGTGGCGCAATAATAAAGTATGGGTATACATGTGCATTCGGCTTAGGGTCAAGCTTTTGATATAAAGGCTAGTTGATCAAAATGAAAGTCAGAATCTGTAACCCAGTAACTTGAAATCAAGTACTTTGACAAATAGATAATCGTTCAAAAGTGCTTATGGAAGTAAACAAGATGAATTATCAATAATAAATCTGAAAAGTGAATATTAAAGTAAATCTAGGTTTTGTTTGACCAAAGTAAAATTTATAATAACTACCAATAAGTCTCCTGATGTCAGCCGGATATAGATTGGATTAAAGGGTGTTTTTCCTATTGTGTTTCTTACTTTCATCTACCCTTGTTATTTGGAATATAATCTCTTTCCTGTTCAACTATGTTCTGATTTGGGGATTTGTCAAGTGAATTGGTGTCGAAGAATACTAAGCAATAGGAATAGCTAGGCTGTAATGAGAGAAATATAACACCTAGGTATAGACGTCAAAACATTATGTTGCTAGGAAAAAATTGGATAACTCTGTTACCAATCACTTTTTCAAGCGGTGTAACCTAAACCCTAGCCATTGTTGATTGAGATAATAGTAACTAAATTGTTTAACAATGTACGTGCAATAAAATCAGAGAACAAGAAACGACAACAAGAGAGACAAAAAGAATTGCAAGTCAGAGGCTCATAAACTATACTGAGGCACACTAATTGTGATTGGTTCACTAATACCATTCGAGTGTCGAAACTCAAAAAATATAGTGTTTGAAATGGGTGAAATTCAAATGATTAAATCAGTGGGGTGTAATTCCATGTTATTAAAAATTCTGGAGGACAAAAGTAGTTCCAAAATAACTAACACGCAAAATCATATAATAACCCAGCCAAACATAGCAACTATGTTTAATTGCCCCTGGTGACTTTGAGATATGCTATTTACTAAAGGAACAATGTTTTCATTTTAAAAGAAAATCAACCTATTTCTTATTTTACAAACTAACCTTGTCGTATAGGCTGTTGTTCACAGTTACTCCCAACACTCGCTTTTTTTGGAGTTTGTGTTTCATCTTCATCTTCACTATCTACCTCATCACCAGCATAACTGAGTCCACTAATTTTAAAACTTTCACCTAAATTGATACAATTCGCTTCGTGTGATTTTTTGTCTTTCGATTTTCTATGGTGACTTTGCTTAGACTCATTCCTTTTATGCTTATTTTTATTCTTGTCGTTTGAACGCCTATGATCATCATCATCATCATTAGTGTCATATTCAATAGAACTTTCATTGCCCACTTCACGCATTACTTCTTGTGCAACTTGATTAGGCATTAATGAACGAATCATATCATCGCGTATTTCTTGTTCTTTCTTTAATGCTTTTCGCATTAAAGCATTATAACCCATGCGTAAAAATGTCGATCGGCGCCAAACCTATGTTTTTTTTAAATAACATAATAATAATGATGTTCCTGCAAAAAGCGACTAGTTTTAAAAAAATAATAGCAAAGATAGATTAGAACAACAAATATAGATGAAAAATATTGTTTTTAATTAGATCCTCATCAAGCTTTATTCTAATATACATGAATACTTAAATGCATATACGAAATTATCATATCAATCACCCGACTGTAGCTGCTACCTTGACGTGGTGGTCAGGCTTGCCTATCGTGATGACTCAACCGAGCTATATTGGCTGGAACATATGTTCCTGTAGGCTCTACCATGCCAGGCAGGTCCATTGGAGAACGGTAAGACTAAAAGCAGCAACTCAAGGTCTGAGGGCGAAGTCGTACTGCTGACTGTAGAGGGGTGTGACAGCAGTAAAGTGTTTCCCTCGGACAACCAGCATCCGCAACGATGCTGCCTTCTCACAAGGAGGTGTGGGGTTAGAAAAGGTCGATCCTAAAAATGTCACGCCTCACCTTACCTCACGGTTTCCGTCTCCGGTGGTAAGGCTCTTTGAAGAACGGAGCTAACACGTTAAAAACCTCCCTCAAAAGAGCCGCGCGCGACCGGCCTTAAACAATTGTCCCTTAGGATCTGCGGTCACGCTCCCAGGTCGTTAGGACCAGCATTAATCCAACTTCCTTTTCAGGTTCCTCAAGAAATACCCTTCCACGGTGTGGGCAGCCGGGAAGTGATATCAGACCCGTTAGAACTGACTTGAGTAACGAGAAAACTAAAAGTAGGTTCCAGGAACAACTGAGGTCACACTTGGGTAGTTGTGAAGACGAGGCTGACCCAGATGTTGCTTGGAAGGGCATACAATCAGCTGTGGAAACAGCAGTGACATCTATTAGTGACTTAAACCACAGAGTTGCAAGGAACCAGTGGATTTCTTCAAGGTCTGTCACACTGCTGGATTCTCGCAAACTCGTCCCATCAGGTTCTGAACATGATGAAGAGCGAAAACAAATCAGATCTAGGTTAAGAAAAAGTCTAAAGAACGACCGTGAGCAGTGGTGGGTAACGAAAGCAAAAAGAGATGGAAAAGGCGGCGACTATAGGGAACGCAAGACAGCTTTACAGACTAATAAAAGAAACTGGAATTAATAAGTCAAGTGTAAGTGAGATTATATCGGAAAAAGACGATACACTCATCTGCTCCAAGTCCAGACGTTTAGAACGATGGGCGGAACACTTTAGGGAACAGTTCAGCTGGCCTTCAGCTACTCTACAACTACCCTCCATTCCCAGACAGTGTGAATGGAACATTGAAGTAGGTCCCCCAACTCTTGCTGAAGTTCAAAAGGCTATGGTTAATCTGAAACGAGGAAGAGCAGCTGGTTCAGATGGATTGGCTCCAGAGGTCTTTAAGGATGGTGGTCCAATTTTAGCGATTAAGTTGACTAATATTTTAGCTAAGATCTGGGAATTAGACTTTATCCCATCTGACTGGTCGCAATCACTTATCGTCCCAATATATAAGAAAGGGTCAAAATCATCCTGTGACAACCACAGAGGGATTAGTTTAACAAACATAGTATCTAAAATACTGGCCCCGATAATTATCAAACGCCTAACTAAGACTCGTGAACTACAAACTCGAGAGAACCAAGCTGGCTTTAGACCTGGTCGTGGCTGCATCGACCACATATTCACCATTCGTCAGGTTCTAGAACACAGGCATACCTATCGGCGTCCGACGATGGTGGTATTTCTTGACTTAAAAGCAGCATTTGACTCGGTAGACCGCGAGACTCTGTGGCAGTGTCTGTCATTGAAAGGCGTACCTCAGAAGTACACAAACCTTGTGAAGGCTCTTTACTCGAACACTACTAGTCGAGTCAGGGCTTATGGCGAACTGTCATCTACTTTTGCAACCTCAAGTGGTGTCCGTCAAGGCTGTCCACTTTCTCCATTTTTGTTTAACTTCATCATAGACCTATTGATGGAAATAACACTCTCGTCGACTGAATTCTCGGGTATTGATCTCCTTCCAGGAGGTCCACTTATCGACTTAGAATACGCAGATGACATAGTCCTGTTTGGTGAAGACGCTGACAAAATGCAGAATCTTCTGGTAGCACTAAGCAACAATGCCAGAATGTTTGGGATGCGCTTCTCTCCCTCTAAATGCAAGTTGTTGCTTCAGGACTGGTCTCCGTCAACACCTGAACTAAGGATAGGGAGTGAAGTAGTTGAACGCGTTGACAACTTCACTTATCTTGGAAGTCTGATCAGCCCTAATGGGTTGGTGTCTGACGAAATCTCAGCACGGATTCGAAAAGCTCGTTTGGCTTTTACCAACTTACGTCACCTTTGGCGAAGGCAAGATATCCGTCTATCAGTAAAAGGACGAGTATACTGCGCGGCAGTCCGTTCTGTTTTAATTTACGGCAGCGAAACATGGCCCTTAAGAGTAGAAGACACCCGTAAGCTACTAGTATTTGACCACAGATGCCTTAGAAATATTGCTGGCATCTGCTGGGATCACCGGGTAAGTAATAGTGAGGTTGGACGCAGGGTATTAGGGAATGATGGTAAATCAGTTGATGAGGTTATGAATCTTCATCGACTGAGATGGTTGGGCCACGTATTACGTATGCCTGAACACCGATTACCACGACGTGCAATGCTAACCGGGGTAGGGGATGGTTGGAAGAAAGTTAGGGGCGGCCAAACCAAAACGTGGCATCAGTGCCTGAAGTCACTAACTTCTAGTCTGAGCCATGTTGGTAGATGCAGACTACTTGGTTGGGGTCCGCGTGACTTTCGTAACCAATGGTTGGAGACTCTTGGTGACATGGCTCAGAATCGATCACAATGGCGTCGGTGTATACACTCCCTGTCTTCCCTTAAACTAAGAGACTAAAATCACTTCATTCTTTCTGTCTACGAACTAATTCTTTCTTCCTATACTATATCCTTATTGCAACCTTTGACCTAACCACTCCTATGAATCCGCTGTTCATCTTGCTGTGCTAATGAGGCATGGCAACCTGGACCGATGCACATATGTGCCTGGTCCTACGTTGTAGCTGACTGACTGACTGACTGACTCAATAAACTGGTCATAGGCGGCACCATATTCCCACATAAAGGCATACACAAAACCACATGGACTTCACTGGATCACACTACACAGAACCGAATCGATCACATGTGCATCAATAAAAGGTTCAAGACGATGGAGGATGTAGGAACCAAGAGAGGAGCTGATATAGCATCAGATCACCACTTCCTGGTCGCCAAGATGGGACTGAAACTCAAGAAGCACTGGACAACGTGGCGGAGAGCATCACAAAAGTTTAATACGGCCTTTCTTCGGGATACTGATAGACACAACGAATTTAATGTATCCCTCAGCTTTAGGCTCCAGGCCTTTCACGATCCACTCAATGGAGACGGAACTACCATGGAGAACAACTGGAAAGGGATCAGAAAGGCAATCACTTCAACATGTCATGAGATTCTGGGCCACAAAAAGCACCATGATAAGCAACGGATCACTGTTGATACACTGGATAAGATTCAGGGTGCGGCCCCTAAGAAAACCAACTGCTTTGGTTTGGGCGCCCGGGCAGCATCACAGCCCTCACACATATCAAATGAGATCTGTGTGGCGCATATGTATTTGATGCCTCCTTGTACCAATATCTGTGTGCTAAAATAAATAAAAATAAATCGTTTACTAACATCCAAATGGCTCCGTATACAAACGTCTCAGTCTGAGTAAGAAAATACAACCTCCTCCCACTGGTTCGTTCCAGCAGTGCGGTTAGGCACGACTCATTATTTATTTTAACACATAGATAATGGTACAATTGGGCATCAAATACATATGCGCCAGACAAATCTCATTCGATATGTATGAGGGCTGTGATACTGCCTGGGTGCCCAAACCGAAGTAGAGTTAGGCACGATTGTCCAATCTTACTATTCCTCTCCAAATTTGCCACTGGTGGCTTGGACATATCGCATCAATATCATCTCAGGAACCTCCACATTTTGTATGGTTCCCCGAAGCTGAGACTGAGTGGAAAAGTAGGAGATGGGTAGTTTATGAGATGAAGCCGTGATATTAAAGAAAGGTGCATAGAACTGGCATCAGTAGGTCCATCATGACACCCTGATTGCAGTCTTAGAAATGGTGCAACTCAGCGGCTCGAAATGTTGCCAGAAACGTTTCAGAACGGTGGCCATTTGAACCCTAGCTGTAGTTTTTCTTACTTTTTTCATAAAAATGAAATTTATTTACCTGGAAGGGTTTCTCGTGATTGTATTTTTAACTGAACCGTTTCTCCAATTTTAAACTACTTGAGTTCACTCATTTCTGTCCATTTATTTGTCTTTAATTATAAACACATGTCTTCCTCTATCGTTTCATAAGTACATCTCCTTAGTCGTGTAGTTTTTTTTTCTGCCCAGCTGTATCGACATTTATAAAAATTTAACGAATACACTACGTCTTGGTTTAGTACATATATTCTGGGAATCAATGTAATGTTATCAGATGTCTCTAGCACACCTGTTTGTGCACTACTGGCTGATCCCTAAGTGTATGGTTAGGACTTTCAAATCTTCAGTCGCAAGTGCTTCAACCATGAATTCATTGTTCTACATATTATAAAATAACCATAAAACTAGTCAAAAACATGAATATCAAACCGAATTCCTGGAAGTTATGGTAAAAGAGAGCGGACTTACTTGAGACATCAAGTGAAGATTAATTCCAATCAAATGAACAGAGAAATGACCGACGAAAAACAACAGTATAAACCAGCCTGGGACCCGGTCGTACCTCACACTTGCTAAAACTATTTGCAAGACACTAACGGGTCCACAAATTGCCAACAGCTGCCATAAGCGCAAAGGAGCCATGGTATATGTGATCAATATGAGCTGAAGAATTAAACTGAGATTAAAAGCCAAAGTAGCACCAGGTTCTGGTGGAGTAAATGCAAGCAAGCCAAGCAAGCATGAAATCCATGCGTGACTAACACTGATTAATATAGCTCGTGATCTGAAAAGTTTGTCGAAGAAGCTCATTAAGAAATAAGTAAGTGAGATCACAACACCAAGACTGAATCCGACCCTGTATATTAAACAACTAGGATGTTGCAGAATTGAAAAATACATCAACCAAGCGACTGACAGAAAAGCCGTTAATACAGTGCCAAAACGGAATCTCCCACGTGAACTTGGGTAAGTACATTTGTAGTAAAATGACTCTAATACTTCCGAATCAAACTTGAGATTGAGTATTCCCCCGGAACATCTTTCAAATAAGTAAAGTCCTTTGATCTTGTGTTTCCGGACTGAGTCGACTCCTTTAGCCTTGTCAAAGTTATTTCCTGATGTCATTATGGGGAAAATAAATTATGCAAATATCTTAAACACCATTTGAGTGGGTGAAGTTGAGATGTTATATGAGTAACTGATATCAAAACCTTCAAGGTAGGATCAGACTTTCGGAGTAATGATATAATATTCTTATCAGACGATAATTATTCTGGTGAACTGACTCTCGTTTCTCATTACCGTGTGTCCTACAATTTGGACCGATATCCCGATCATGAAGAGACGAACAAGCCTTCTCGCGCGGCTCTGAATGTTTCCCAACATATCCAATATCCAATATATTTGCTCCAGGCCATTACAAACCAAGTTATTTCTTTGTACTCGTTTCAAGTTTATTAACTAAGTATTGCTAATGGTTTAAATGTTTTTGGATGGAATGGAAGAAGCTTTCGCTTAATGATGGACCGCCAATACCTCCAGGCAAGAACCTAGGTATATTACCGATATAAGAGGGAAAAGAAGTTGGCAAATCATATTATGAAACTATTCTTAGTCCTTAAGAATATGTCAAGTTTTCTCTTAGACGATTCTAGCGAAGTTGCTTGTACCAGCTCAGCCTGCAGTGAACTCCATCATTCGACTAGTCTTACACAGTACAAGTTTTGTCTACAGTCCGTTCTGCTGAGTTGCGTTTCCAGTTTTTGGTTGTTACCCCTTAAGTTTGTGTTGGAACCAAACTTCAGTAAGGGTTTGAGAGAATATCCAGGTGTAGCTAAGATGCTGTGAGCCATTAGGTCACCTCTAAGACGCCTGTACTCTAGTGGGTAAAGGTTTAGTGATTGAAAGCGCTCTTAATAAGCCTTGAATTTGAGTCCCCCAACTGGTTTCGTCACAAAGTGTCCTTATCCCTTGGAAGTAAGGGAGAAAGTAATATGTTTACGTGCTCTAAATGGGGACGAATGAAACTGTTGAAGATTATGTCGCAAGTTCTGCCGTAAAAATTGTCGTAAATGAGCTCCAATGTTACCAGCACAAAGTTTGCTCGAAAGGTAATCTTGTCACAGTTAACGTAGGACTTCGAATCAAGACTTCAAACTTCTAGATCTTTTTCAACTTGAGACATCTATAGAGGAGAGTTGCCTAGATTCTAATCTGTAACATGTTACAAATGAAGTACTTAACACTATGAAGTGTTTAATGTAAGTCTGTTGTCATCCGCCCAACTTTGGAGTCGAGTCAGATCCCCCTGAAGTCCCGGTATATCCTCTTTACTCCGTACCTCTCTTTAAAGTTTCACATCATCAGCAATAAGTAAGAACTCTGACCATAACTGTTGTTGAAGATTGTTTATATTAATCAAGCAAAGAAGAGGTTCTTGTACTGAACCCTGGACTACCCCATCAGGACATTGCATAGCTTGATAGAAAATGAAGTCAACCCTGACCTTAAAATGTCGTGTTTTTAGATATGAAGTGAGCCAATCAATTAAAGGTGATTTGAAACTCGATCATTTGAACTTATTGATATGGCATATATGGTTGGCCCTATCAAACGCCTTTGAGACGTCACGATCAAGGATGCTTGTCCATCTCTCCACCGTAACCAGCGGGCTGGTTGTACAACAATGACCATTCCTGAGACCATGCTTTAGGAATAGAAATGATTTTAAGATAATAAACAATCATGTATGCCGTCGTATATCAGGGACTCCATAAATTTTTATGGTATATAGGAAAGTGCCACCGATCGGTAGCTTGAAGGTTTGTTGCGTCGACCTCCTTTGTAAATTCGTGTGATGTGAACCAGATACCGGTAATATGCCTCGACCTAGCAAATGTGATAACATCACGCTAAGCAGTGTTGCCAGGATTGAAGCTGCTCCCCTCAGTATAGCAGAATCAACCCTATGCTAACCAGAAGTGTCCTTTTTATGTGCTGCAGTTTCTGGAACACCAAGTCAGGTTCACTTCCGAAGGTCTCGTGCAGTTGCAGATGAAGATTTCGTCAGTATAGTTGATGTGGGTCGGTTGAAATGTCTGAGAGTATTGTTCAGCTGGAAGTTTAGCGGTGTCACCATCATTATTGGTCGGGCCATTAGGACCTAGCAGTCGGGAAACTTCAGTTTTGGCTTGTCGAAGAGAGATTGCATAACAAAATAAGCTTCTCGGATTGAGGACAAATTCACCGATAACCTTTATCTGGTACTGAAGCCTGTGCTCTCTTATCGCCTTAGTGCATGTATTTCTTATATGTTTGTACTGCCTGTACACTACGTTGTTATGAGCTCGTTCGTATTCTGCCCAACAGTGCTTTTGGCGGCTTAGCAAATGAAGAGTGCGGTTCTTGATGACTGTAGGTTGCTTGTAGACTTTCAAGACCATTTGAGGAGCAGACGCCTTGTAGCACATAAGATCGCGTGCAGTAAAAAATCTCAATGAGCGTCAACATCTACTCTAGAGTGAATTTCCCAATCCAACTGTTGTACGTCATCCCGCATCGCTGACACATTCAACATTTTGAAGTTCCAGCGTCTATTGTTGGCGGGATGTCTTGCTGATAAAACTATAGGCCACGACGGTGCGATCCATCGGGCGGCTTGCCTGAATATCTGGGCTACTTGTTCCTTCCATCTAGATATTTAAGCACGTGAAATTCCATGTCCTGTTTATTTGTATAAGCCTTATGTGAATAGACAGGTAACCTACCTACACGGGGTTTTCCGATTTGGTAACCCCTCTCCTTTCAGCATTTTTCTTATGATTTAGACAGCCCACAAGTGGAATGGTCAGCACCAATTTGCCTTTGTGCTTGGATGTGGCATCTTTTGACCTGTCCGAATGCATATGGATTCCAGTTGGCAACCGGCGTGTCGACACGAAACGCTTCCACAGTTGCAGCCGCCATATGGGAGGATGGAAATGTTATCTTCGTCAGCCGGGCCGCTTGCATGTATCCTTCATGACTATGGTGATGTCAATTGATTAAAAGATCCTTGCAAAATTTTACAACCGTAAAATAGAAAAAACAGTACATTAAAAACATAAAAATGATAAGATCGGTTGATACGAAAGGTTAGAACAAACTAAAGCAACCCTTGACGTGAAAACCCAAAAATCGAATAGTAAGCTGAAGTAAAACCACAGTTAATTAATAACTTGAGTAAAACCCAAAAAGAAAAGTAATCTACATAACCTAAAGCTTATGACAGATTCTTTGGATCAAAAATGGAACTTTTGTTGCGTAAGGAAACAGCAAAGGTGTGAGAAATGCAAATCAGGCTAAGACTAAAATTCCCGTTCTTAAAGCGAACGGATAACTCAAAGATGGACGTCTCCTCAAATTACGAATCAGAAACTTGCAATACTCGGGATATCTTTGTTTCGCAACGACAGAAAAACAAGAATAAGCGTAGAATAGCAACATACCTACGATCTTGCTTGATAGCACATCAAGTGTTCATCTAAAGATGAAACGTGTATTGGGAATTTGACATTGCCTTTACATGTAACACTTTAATAATTGAAATATACCAAGTTAGTACAGTAAGCGGTCAGATATGATGAGGTCCGAAGATGTATTTGAAAGGCTACTGATATATCGAGAAACGTTTAATTTAAGCTGGCTAACAGTGTTAGGAGGTGTGCGGCACGACACATGCACTTGTGATGTGGTGCGGATGCTTGGCCAAGCTCCCTCAGTAAGTTGTGTCTATTAAAAGTAATGAGGTTAGCATCAAATGTCGAAGACTTGCAGAACTTTATATTGCGGAGTTGTATACCACTACAACTCACTTCCCAGTGAAGAAGTGGTGACCCTAAGACGTGATTCATCGTAAACATCGTCGGTTTTTCCGTCTTTTCCAGCCGTCCTGGGAAGAAAGAAATGTAAGTGCCTGTCAAAATACACTTGTGCGCAAGTAAGGACACGAAACGGGAGAAAAAGGAAAATAAACCAGTGCATACGCGTTTTTTAACATATAGTAAAGTAGAAACAATTTTCCCACAGTGACTTCCTGAATTTAAATTTTGGAAAAATTATATACACCTGTATGAAAGCATATAAGATACGAATGTGTTTTTTTTACATAACAATAGGAAAAATTAGAATAAAACATGTTATGCATTGTCCTATTTACAGCAGTCTTTTCAGTTTTGCAGAGTCCTTACCATTCTTCCAGGACGTGTTGTTTTTGGCCGGTTGTCAGATATCACCAAAGTTTCATCATGATTGTTGATTGTCTTGTGAGATGCTTTAATTGTGAGGCTTCGGTCGTTCGATTGAATCGAAGGAAAATCAACATTATTAAGGTCTCCTTCCAAGTACGTATCTTTAAAACGATTAATACTGCTGTTATCGCTAGTTTTATTCTTGTTGATGATATAATGCCTAGGTGTACAATGAAAAATTTTGAAGGGTCCTTCGTATGCTGTCTTGAGAGGACGTCGTAACGAGCAGCGACGTATGTGTATTAGGCTGTATGGCAGGTTGATAGAAAACATCGAGTCGAGTGAAAAATTTGTAGGCCTGCTCGTGTAGGAGTTTATATTCTTTTGATAGTCGGAGCGTCGTTCCGTAAACGAGTTGTACCGCAGTGTATTCAACGTCAACGTTTACTGCATTGCGGATACCAAGTAAGACGACTGGGAGAGCGTCGGCTCACTATGAAATGTTTGCGGCTGTGAGTGAAGCTTTTAGCTGTCGTTGAAATAGTCCTACCAACCCGTTTGCATATGGATGGTTAACAGTTGTTCGGAAGTGTGTAGTTTTTAGTGTAGTTTGTGCTACTGATGTGGAGACATGTAGGTGTTTTGTATTAGTCGAAAGTAAAGTTCCTGAGTGCAGAAGGTAAAGTAGATCAAAGAAAAAAGAACGAGAACAAAGAATGATTGGTGTGGAAAACAAAGAACAATGGAGTCTGAGACAACGGACTGATATTTACAAAATGAAACAATGAAGAATGAGACAAATGACTGATATTTTGCATGTTACGTATTTACTATATGGTCCTCAGATTTTACTAAGGTTTTCTGTAGTGTTGCCTCCAAATACATTTGATTACCCTCAATTATGTTCCTGTTCTCTACATCTGATGTCGTTGACAACCAGAAGAAAGGGAGTGGTGCTGTTGTGCGGACTTCATTTCAGAGCAGTCTGAGATGGAGAAGTAGTAAGACGACGGAAAAGTCCATAATGGGACTAGAGTTCACGGTCTGTGGTGACAGTTGAAGGTCAACCGAAGTTTGCCATCACTGCTTGCACTGATCTAGCACGACCGAAAGTATCTGCGTCCCACTTAGACATCATAGGTTCTCTACATTTATA